GCTACACAGTGCATTTCAGGATATATGTACAGAATGTGTCTCAAAAAAGCCGAAAGGGGAAGGGAAAAAAAAGAGCCACAGTGGGCCTTGTACATGTAGGGTCCTCAGAAAGAGGGTAAAAAAAAAGAACCACAGTGGGCCTTGTACATGTAGGGTCCTCAGAAAGAGGGAAGAAAAAAAGAACCACAGTGGGCCTTGTACATGTAGGGTCCTCAGAAAGAGGGTAAAAAAAAAAAAAGAACCACAGTGGGCCTTGTACATGTAGGGTCCTCAGAAAGAGGGTAAAAAAAAAGAACCACAGTGGGCCTTGTACATGTAGGGTCCTCAGAAAGAGGGTAAAAAAAGAACCACAGTGGGCCTTGTACATGTAGGGTCCTCAGAAAGAGGGGAGACCCTGCAGCCCTCCTTTAGCTCTCTGGCTTTTCTAGTGCCACCCCCCCTCCCCCAGCACACCCCAGCCCTGCTTCCCCACTTGCTGAATCCCTGCCTCTGTGGCTCTCTTCTCCATCCCCATACTCCTCCCAGCCTAAACCCGGCCAAATCCACCATTGATCTGGTCCCTGGGCCTGGAGCCTGCCGCCAGCTCTCTGGACCCATCCATCACCCTGGCTTTTTTCCTTAAACTGCACAGTCCAGAGAGAGTCAGGGCAGCTTGAAGACTGTGCTGGGGTTGGCTCAGAGGGAGTGGGAGAACAAGACTTCCTAGCCAGGAGTGTCTCTCACTTTCTCTCCTTGTCACGTTTCTCCCCTGTGGGGCAGGGTTTAGAGGTTAACACCCCAGTTTTACAAATTAGACCCCTGACTCATCAGGGGAGGTCTTGCTTGGCTGAATGTATGAATAATTGGGACTCCTGGGGGGGAGGAGCCGATTCAACCCAAGTGAGAGTGACTTGGCCACGGTACTTCAGATGCCCTGGCTCTAAAAAACCAAGGGAGTTGAGTGTACCTTAGTTGGTACAGTGCTTGCCTAGTGTGCATAGAGCCCTGTTTCTTTTTTTTTTTTTTTTTTGTTTTTGTTTTTGTTTTTTGAGACAGGGTTTCTCTGTGTAGTTTTGGTGCCTGTTCTGGATCTCGCTCTGTAGGCCACCCTGGCCTCGAACTCACAGAGATTGGCCTGGCTCTGCCTCCCGAGTGATGGGATCAAAGGCATGCGCCACCACTGCCCAGCTTGAGCCCTGGGTTTGAGCTCCAGCTCTGCTTAAATCAGGCATGGTGGCTCATTCCTGTAATTCCAGCACTTGGAAGCGAAGGGGAGAGGACCAAGGCTATCCTTGGTCACATAGGGAGTTTGAGACCAGCTTCAGTTTATGGGGAACCCTGTTGGGGTCGGGGGACAGAAATAGAAATAGACAAAGAGAATGAATGGATACAAATGAATTTCCTTTGATTATTCCTGAGCTGATTCCCTTTTCAGGCAGGGTTGGTTCTCACAGCTCCACCAGGCCCTGCAGAAAAACATTCAATATATCCCCAGCAGGACATCAGGACTCTGGGTTCCTTCATTCTCTGAGCAAAGTCTACGATCTCCAAAGTTCTTAAACTGATCCTACAGTCTTTTAGACCCAAGCCTCTCCTCCTCCCTACCACCACCATCGTGGGAGAACTGGGTAGCTCCTAGGGTTCCCCATGGTCATCGCCTGCCTTGGTACACTATCTCCCCCACACCAGAAATGCTGATGTCTTCCCAAGGGTAGGGAAGGAGGTGTGTGGTCCAGGGGTGGAAGAGATCTTCTGGGGCCAGGAGGAAGTCCATGTGTGTCCAGAGTCCTCTGGGACAGAGAGGCCTTGTTGTTTGAATCTTAGATGGTCTTTTAATAAAAAACCCAGAGCCAGATATCAGGGTGAAAGCCGAAAGATCAGAGAAGCAGAACAGCCAGACACTAGTTCTTACCTCTACGAAATCCTCAGCCTAAAGAGAATGAGTTCCTGTTTCCCCCTTCCTTATATACCTTTCTCTGTTCTGCCATATTACTTTCTGGGATTAAAGGCATGTGTGCTTCCCAAGCAAAGGCATGAGATCTCAGGTGCTGGGATTAAAGGTGTGTGCCACCACTGCCTGACCTCTATGTCTAATCTAGTGGCTGGCTCTGTCCTCTGATCCTCAGGCAAGTTTATTAGGGTACACAATATATCACCACAAGGGCTAGCAGGAGGAGAGGTAGTCTGGGCCCAGAGTTAGGTCTAGCAACAAGGCCAGGCAAAACACACATGGACTGGACAGAGAGAGGACTACTAAGTGCCCATGCCCTGAGCCATGAAGGTCTCCTCTGCTGTCCTCAGTAGGGTGTGACCCTCTTGGTGTCAGTGAGGGTGAATGAAGGAGGAGGGAGGTTGGGTCTACACATATAGAGCTGTCAGCCTACTCCCCCATATGACCCAGGCCATCCTTCTCAGCTCAGTCACTGCCCACCCTGGCTTGCCAGGAGGTCTGAAGCTGTCAGGAAGATGATGGCCCCTGTGTACCTAGCCTTACTCTGTCAGCAGGATTCTTCCCCAGTTTCTTTTGTTATTAGGGAACTGTTCTCGCATTGTATCAACTTAGTATTGCTTCTGTTAACACAGGTTCACTTTGAACTTGACCGTATACACTTAAGAGGAAACTTATCTCCTTACCACCCTGAGGAACAAGATCTATAAAACCAGAGATTTGGTCCCCTCCCTCAGATTTGTTCTAATCCTTATGAAAATAAAAGTGATAATCAATAAAGTATAAAAACACTGCTGTAAACCTCCAGCTGAGGCAGGAGGATCAGCGATCAAGGCCAGCCTAAACTATATATCAAGACACAAAATAGTTAGATAAATTAACTGTATATCTTATGTGACACACACCACACACACAGATAGATATAGATATAAAACATGTCTTCAAAGTCATCACTGGGTGTCTGGACCTCACTTGGGGAGCCTCACAAAGGATGGTAACTGTGGTGTAAGGGATAAAGGGTGTCTGGAAGGTCAGAGGTGGTGACTCAGGCCTTGAGCATTGGGGGGGGGGGGGTAGAAGGGGGACGGACCAGAGAATACAGATAGAAACCTGCATGATGTGTTGTATGCTCAGTGCTTGCTCTACTCAATACACAGTGTCATCTATCCGGGGAGGTATGGCAGTGTAAACCTAGTAGATATTGGGTAACACAAGGCCTACGCTACTTCCTGTAGCTTTGGACCTGTCACTGGACTTCTGCAGTTTGCCAGCCATTTCAGAAATGGGGACCACAATCATACCTACCAGACAGGAGTGTTGAGAGCCTTGGGGGGGGGCCCTTGGAAGCCCATGACTGAAGTACCCATGGGAGCTGTTGTCCTTGTAGTTTAGTGAGAGAGGCTGGGTCCTCTGGGGCTATGAACCCCAGTTGCACATGCCTGGGCCACAGCCTGGAAGAGTGTGCTGTATGCATCAGGGTGGCTCCCCCTCAACCCCCTCTGTGTGTGTGTGTAGGTGGGTGGAGTGTCCATATGTCGTTATTGGTGGTAGAATGGTTCCTGTGTGTGTGTGTGTGCTTATGTGCGCACACACGTGTGCATGCTTGTGCATATGTGTGTTGGCACTGAGGTAGCTAGTTTTGAAATGTGGCTCAGTCTCTTCTTTCCTCCTGTGGTTGGGCGTCAGGTGAGTGTGGACTGGCATCGGGCCTGATAAATAATTGCGTGGAGGGAAGAGTGCTTTCGTGAATCTGGCCGAGTCCCAGGATTCCCAGCCTTGTCTCCTTTTGCCCTAGTCTATCCTTCCAGAAGTTCTGTGGTGGGACAATGTTGGTGTGACTGCAAGCCTGGCTGGTGGGGCCTGACGCTTAGTTGACACTCCATGGGCTGTAGGTGGGATGTATGGAGACTGCTATCTCTCACTGGGGTGACTTCCGGGGGAGAGGGCAGGCAACTCTGTATTCCTTGTCCGGAACATGGCTAACGTGGATACCCAGCAGGGCCTGCTTTCCTTAGGAGTAAAGAGTGGGGGGAAGCAGGGCTTCGGGGGAAGGCTGGGAGCTGGAGGAGGAGGCTGAGGGAACTCGGGAGGGGGTGAAGAGTGTGGAGACCTCAACCCCCGGCCTCCCCCACCCACTTCTGTTTGTCCTTTGTCCCCTGTACATCACTTGTGGGTCTTGAGCTTGCCTGTGTGTTGGGAGGAGAGCTTGGAATGGGGAGGGGAGGAGAGTTGACCTGTTTTGTCTGTCTGCTTTCTCTTACGTTTGTTCCAGTCCATCTCTCTGTGCCCAGCTTCTGCTGTCTGTCCATCTGTCTGTCTCTGGGGAGGGAGGGGAAGGGAGTCTCTCAACCCCAGATTTTGGGCCTCCATTCATCTCTGGGAAGAAGCCCTGTGACTGACCTTTGCCCTCACCCCACCCCCATAATTCCCTGGCCCCTGTCCTATAGCCCCCAGCTGGAGGATACAGTCCTGAATGTACATGTGTGGGGAAGGAGCTCATGGCTCCAGCCTCTCCTTCGAGAATGTTCTAGAGCACAGTGTGGCTCCTTTCCCTATCTTTTTTTTTTCTTTTTTCTTTCTTTCTTTTTTTTTTTTTTTCAGGACAGGGTTTCTCTGTGTAGTTTTGGAGCCTTTCCTGGAACTCTCTCTGTAGACCAGGCTGGCCTCGAACTCATAGAGATCCGCCTGCCTCTGCCTCCCGAGTGCTGGGATTAAAGGCATGCGTCACTGCCGCCTGGCTTCATTTCCCTATCTTTAGGAAGGGGACGGAGTGTGTAGTTAGAGAGGTGACCAGGACACCTCCAATACTCCCCACCCCTAACTGTTCCCCTGCCCAACCACATCCCCTGCCTGCTCCAAAGCCCACCAAAGAGCAACCTGCATCCAGGACCCGCTCCCTAACCCTCACTTGGAATTCTAGGTTTATGTCATATACTCTTCTTCCCCCTTTCCATCTCCCAAAGGCCTCTCTGCCCTATCAGACCCTGCCCTGCCCCACAGGGATCCTTGTGGGAGATGGGCAGCCCCTTGGCATGGCACCCTGGTGACCCTCCATCCTCTCCCCCTCTCGCAGATCCGGAGCGGAGCAGCCCTCCCATGCTGTCTGCCGACGATGCCGAGTACCCTCGGGAGTACCGGACCCTGGGGGGCGGGGGCGGCGGGGGCAGCGGGGGCCGGCGCTTCTCCAATGTGGGGCTGGTACATACCTCCGAGCGGCGGCACACGGTGATCGCTGCCCAGAGCCTGGAGGCGCTCAGCGGGCTCCAGAAGGCGGATGCTGACCGCAAGCGAGATGCGTTCATGGACCACCTGAAGAGCAAGTACCCCCAGCATGCCCTGGCCCTGCGAGGTCAGCAGGACAGGATGCGGGAGCAGGTGAGTGTGAGCAGAGGCGGGGTCTGTAGGGGGTCGGTCACCCAGTCAGTACTTTATGGCTCTCGGGCAGAGCTGGGAGCCTGGAGTTGGGGAGTTTTGTCCCTGGGCCGTGGCCCTCCTTGATCTTTTCTGGAGCCTGGGGGAGAAAGGAGTGGGGTTTAGTCTCCGGGTCCCTGCCATCTGCTTGACACATGGAGTGTGGGTTTGGGCAGAATGTGGGAAGAAGGGTTGGAAGCTGTGTCTTGGAGGCCAAAGTAATGATTCAGAAGAAGAGAGAGGACGCTTTGGGCGCTGAGGATACTGGGCCCGGACCCAGTGGGACAGTTGAAATGTTTGGCTGTGGCACCTCTCTCAGGCCTGGGAGCTTCTGAAGACTGGATCTAACCTGTCCCCAGTCCTAGCCTGAATAGAACCCAGAACCGGGGCCACTACTTCCTTTGAGAACACAGACTGTCTATGTGACTGAGCTGGAAGCCTGTGTGTGCCTTGGTTCTCTCCTGCCCCGCCCCCCAGTAAGGTTTAGGGAGGGGCTGGTGCCTGTGCCTCTGGCCCAGGACCTACATGGGGTAAGGTGCCTCTCTTCTCAGCCTCCCCCAGCTTGGACTCCTTAGTGCCCCTCTCCACCCAAGCGCTAGCTTTCCTCTGAGTTCTTTCTCTCAGGACTAGTGTTCAATGTTTATGCCTGCTTTGGTAAGGGGGCCATTATGGCGGCTGTGTCCCATCTCTGGGAACCCCGGGGTTGTCCCCTCTGGGAGAAGGTGAACAGTGGTCCACTCGCCAGCATCCCTTCAGTCACATTGAGGAGTGTTGGGCCACAGTTCCTTTTCTATGTCCTACTCAGTGTGACTAGGGGTCAGAGGAGGGACATGCCCCTCCCCCCGCCCCCAGTGCAGAGATCAAGGACACACTGCCATATTTCTGGGACCTTGCTTGCCCCCAGACATCCTCTCTCGTTTGGTCTGGCTTTTGCATTTTCATGGCTCCAGAGTCCCCCTGGGAGTAGGATTCAGGTTGATGAGGATCAGGAGGACTTTTAGACTCACGTAGGGCCCTGACCTCCTTAGCTGGGGGAAGAGAAGATTAAACATTGTGTGAAGGGTCCTGGTCAGCTGGGAGGGGCCTTAGGATCAGGGATATCAGTTACACAGGCCTTATGGGAAGGCTACCCGGAAGAGGTGGGACCCATATGAAGCCCAGCGGGGTGAGAGGGTTTGAACAGAGGAAGAGAATGCCGTATCACAGGTGCTGGGTACGCAGCATGGACTCGAGTGGATTTGGAGCATGGCACAGGAGTCCTTCTGGCTGGGACAGAAGACTAGGGGTGGGTCAGCGGGACATGTGCTGCCAGAGTGACAAAGTGGGGTGAGTCGGTCGGGACAGGAGGGTTATATTTGTTATGGAAAGTTAATCGAATCTGGGGTTCGGGAGGCTTGAGGCAGGAGAAGGAGGAAAGGAAGGAAAGGAGTTTGGACAAAGGGGGAGGGAGACTAGGCAAGGGTTGTTGGTTGTCTACATCTGTAAGGGAGTGACAGAGAAGAACACAGCTAAGGGCTTCGTACTGAGTGCCGGCCTCGTAGCCGGAGGCTGTGGGTTTGATTCCCAGCACTGCACAAACTGGCTGTAGTGGTGCATGCCTGCAATCTCATTGCTTTAGATGAGGAGGCAAGAAAATCAGAAGTTCAAGGCCATCCTCAGCTACCAAACTGGGCGACATGAGACTCTGTCTCAAAAACTAAAATCAAACTTTTTTTCCCCCCCTTGACAAGGTTTCTCTGTGTAGCCCTGGCTGTCCTGGAACTTACTTTGTAGACCAGGCTGACCTTGAACTCAACAGAGATCCACCTGCCTCTGCCTCCCAAGTGCTGGGACTAAAGGCATGCGCCACCACCGCTTGGCTAGAATCAAACTCTTGACTGACGGGGAGATAGATGTCAGTCCCTGGGAAAGCAGCAGAAATGGGTGAGAATCATGGGGGTGGGGTGAGGAGTTAGGAGGGAGTTTCCTAGGATACCAAGTGGACACTTTATATACCTTTCTGGACTCCAGGGGGACCATGGCTTCAGGAGACCTGAGAGCAGTCAAGACAGAGACAGAAGTGGGGGTGGGGTAGAATATGATGGTCAGAGATGGGGCTGCGGGCAAGCGGTGCCTATACCTCAGAAGTCTCAGTGGGTCTGGGCAGTGGCCAGTTTCAGTGGTTTGGGGATCAGGTATGGTGAGGAACTGGGCACCCTGGTTACTGTCTGGGAGGTTTAGCAGAGAAAGCTTCAAGAGGCACCAACCAAGTCTGGCATGGAACCTTTATGTATATTGGTAAGTGGAGGCTGGGAAACACTCACCAGCAAATACTTCTGGAGTGAATGGTAGCTCAGTCGTGCTCAGGTTCATCCCTTTTCTCTGTCCTGCCCCCATCTGCCCCTTTAGAGGCGTAGTGGCAGGACCCAGGGCCCTTTCAATTGGATGGAGTCCTCTAGCATGGTGTGAAGCTGGGCAAACATTTGGAGAAGGAGTGGTTGGTTGATTGACAGAGAGACAACTCGGGGGCCAGAGGACCAGGGGCAGGGGGAAACAGTCCTAGAAGAGTCAAGTCTGGTGGCCTTGGGTAGAAGGAAGTCTCCTTTACAGAGATGGCATAGACAACAGGAGTGAGGTCACTCCTGTCCAGTCCCCATCACTGTGAGGTCAGAGGTGACCTCCTTGGGAAGGAAAGAAGGCAGATCAAGGAGTGTGCAAGAGGGCATTTAGGAACTAGAAATCACGATTCTATCCGGTGGCGAAAAATTCTGTCCTGTCAGAGAAAGGAAAGACAGACATGCAGAAAAACTTGGGGCCCTAGGTAGAGTACCAGCCGCTGTGGAGGACCCACCTCCATGACTCCAAGCCCTCATCCCTCTGCCAGAGCTTACCCCTGGAGCATCCATCCCTGCACTGTTCCATCCCCAGCGGCTCCTGCCCGCTCCCCCTAATGGGGTGTCCCTTGCTTCACACACACAGGTCGGCGGCTGGACCGTGGACCCTGTGTGCCTCCTCAGCTCCCTCTGTTCTCACCTCCACGGCGATTCCACCCCCTCCGGGGCTGGCCAGCCCGCCCAGGTGAGCCACCCATCTCCCCACAAAATCCATGGCGGAGCTTGGCTTTGGGGAGACCCTTTTTTTGTAGGGGGGGGATATTGATATTTTTTATTTTGCACCCCTTCTCTTTTATGTATGAACCCTCCATTTTCAGGAAACTTCCATGCCCTGTATTCACATCTCCCCTTATCCTCGCCTCCCCAAATCTAGCTGGAACCTTTTTGAGGGATAGTTATGATTTAAAAACAAACCAATGATTGTTTCTCTCTTTTAAACAAGAGAACCTAGTCTTGTTCTTGGGCTTTTGGGAGCCTCTTATTACGCTCATCTTATTGCCCTGTCTATGCCCCACTCTTCGGTTCTGAGTACCCCCCCCCCCCCCCCCGTCTGACCACCAGGAAGTTCTGCGTGGTGTCTTTCTCTCACCCTTCTTGTCATTTTTAAAGAACTAGGGTGTCTAGCCCTTGCTTCTGAGCCTGTTTCCCCATTCCTCACCGAGCCTCATTTTCCCTGATAGGAGAGTATATTTCAGCATATGCTCCCAGCTCAGGCCTGGGCACTGCCAAGGGAGAAATGATAACAGGCATGGGAGGGTCACGAGTTCAAGCTGTACCTGGAGCCAGGGAGTTTTGGACTTGATGGTTATGGTCGTAGGTAGGAGAAGGGCAGCAGCTGCCAGGTCACTGGATGGAAGAAGTCCGGTTCTTCCTGCACTGGAGTGTGCCAAAGCTGGACTTTCCCAAGGCAAATGAACTGAAAGGATGTTGTGACCAGCTAGGAGACTATGAGGTGTTAGAGCCGGGGGCACCTGGGCTGAAGGAACTTGTCTAGTAACAGCTTGGCACACTGGGCATCATTCTGAGGGCATGGAGCCGCTTCCCTTCCAGCTCTCAGCTCCATTTTGGCTGAATTTGGAAACAAGAGAGCAGGGGGTGTGCCTGTTCTTAAGGCTGGATGAGAGAGTTGTCCTGAGTGGCCGAGTGTGGTGGGGACCACAGACAGAGAGAGGGTCGGGACAATGATAGTGATGGACGGAAGACAGGCACAGGGTGGGCAGGTAGGTCGCTGGTGCCTCAGGTTCCTTAGATGGAGTGTGGGTCAGAGCTAGTGCTGGGGAAGGGCAGGAATGAGGCTGGACTCCAGTGGGCTGAGTTGTGTCCCGTGGTGGAGCTAAGGTCTGTCTGCCTGTCTGGAATTCTGCTCTGATGGAAGGAAGGAGAGTTTGTAGGGAACCTTTGTTCCAGAGCTTAATAATAAACACAGCATCTTGTCATCTCTTGATACAGCTTATCACATTCCTCCCCACCAGGGATAAGTCTGAGGCTCATTTTTGTAAAGCTGAGGCACAGAGACACCCAGCAAAGGACCAGAATCACACACAGCAAGGCCGGATCAGAGGCCAGCCAGGAAACTTAGGCATGCTGGGCCTCCCGACTCCGTCGGGGATTAAGTCATGGAAGGATTAAGGGGGCAAAAGGGCGCTGCTGAGAGGAGGCTAAGGGCCGGGAAGGTGGGGGCAACTAAGATCTTTGGGGATGGGTACAGTGAAGAGGATCCTGGGAAGGGACCAGAGGTTAGACCAAGCCACAGCCCCTCCCCCCGCGCTTCCACAAGGCTGTCTAACCTCCCTCCCTCCTGCTGCAACCCGAGTCCCGGGCGGCGGGCCGGCGTATCGGGTGACCGCGGCGACGTAGCCACCAGCCTCCTCGGCTCTTCGGCGGGGCTGCGCCGGCGGGGCCGCGCCACGGGAGGGGGCCGAGAGGGGATGCGCACGGCAGCGCAACGCGCGGCGCCAGGTGGAGTCGCGGTTACCGGGGCGACCGGGGCCCGGGCCCGCTCGGCGGCGGCGGCGGCGGCGGCGGCTCTCGCACTGCAGCAAAGGGCACCGGCGGCGGCTGCGGAGGCGGCCGGGGGAGGGGAGAGCCTGCGCGGGTGGGAGTAGCGGGCGGTTCTCCCTCCCCCGCCCGACGCGGAACCGGGCTCCGCGCGCGCGTGCACCTGTGGCGGCCGCAGGTAAGGGCAAGCGGCTGTGGGGACTCGGTAGCCGAGTGGGATTCGGAGCGGGGGGGCGGGGACCTGGGGATCGAGTCCCGATCCACGGTTCGGAGGACTGGTCTAGGGGTGCGGGGCGTGCGGCTGCAGCGAGTTCCCTCCCGATCACGGAGAAACGCCCCCTCCCTTTCCCCACCGCAGCAGGTGCCTTCCACGTGGGTCGGCCCCCTCCCCCAAATGCGGCAGGCGCCCCCTCCCCCAGCCTCGGAAAGTCATGACCTTCCCTGGGTGCGCCCCGGCCCAGGGCGCCGTGCGGCTCCCGCAGCGCACCCCCCTTCTCGCACACTCAGCCTCCGCAGGGCTGCGAACCGCTGGTGTCGCTGCAAACCCCTCGGGAAGAGGGCCGTGTGCGGCGTGGCGGTTGCAGGCTGGCGGCCACCCGGGCCCGTGGCAGAGCCCTAGGCTGCGAGCTGGCGTTTCCGTGGACTTGGATTTGCAGGAGTTGGGAGGTGGGTGTGTGCGCCAGTCTGGGGATCAAGGAAGGGGGTGCGACTCGTGGGTTGCCTTCCTCTCTGGAGGATGCTCCTTTGGGGCCTGAGGTCAAGGAGGGGTCATGCGGACACCTCGCCTACCCTAGGATGTCTGCCCAGGGGAAGGGGAAGGAGCTGAGGTAAGGTGCCCATGGGGATCCGTCCCGCCCCTGAAGGGCTGGAGTGGGCGGAGGAGGGCCAGCTGTAGGGGAAGAGACGACTCCCAAGACTAACTACTGGAGAGGTGAGGAGTGACAGGTTAACTCCTCAGCCCTGGAGGGAAAAAGCTGTTTCCTCCACTCTAGGGGTGTTAGCTTACTTCCTGGGCTCCCTGGGGGAAGTCCCCTCCCCCATGGCTGAGAGCTTGGTCCTGGGGGATGGTTGGTTGGCTCCTGTTTTTGCCTCGGCTCCTGCAAGCCTTCACCACCAGCGGCGGGTCCTGCTAGTCTCTCTCCAGCGCAGCTCTACTTTCGGGGTTCCTGAGTTCTGGGGAGGCTAGTCCTCCCTGCACGTAGAGATGTTTTGGTTTGGGTGATGTTTTTGTTGAGTGAAGGGAAGAGGGACCCTGGTTCCCTTCTGTCTCTGCCTTATTTATCAATTTATCTATCTATCTATCTATCTATCTATCTATCTATCTATCTATCTATCTATCTATCTATTTAGAGTCAGGGTCTCTCTATTATGTAGCTCTGGCTGCCTTGGAACTCTCCGGGTAGACTAGGCTGGCCTCGAACTCTCAGAGATCCACCTGCCTCTGTGCTGGGATTAAAGGCGTGGACTACTATGCTCAGCTCCCTGCCATTCATTCTTTCAGGGGTTTTTTAGACCCGTGTCATTCTCGGGGAAAAAGGCTCAGAACAGCCGGGCCAGGGGTTGGAAGGAGTAGGGCCAGGCCTAGTGTTTAGAACTACCCCCTGCCTGCTGGCCCTGCCTGATTTGCTTGATTGGCATTTATTCATTGCCACAGAGGGTACTGCTACATACCAGGTACTTACTGTGCTGGGCACAGGCCGAGGAATCTACAACTAGGCAGGGGGTCAGGGTAGGGACCAGAGGTGTCCCTCTTGCACAGCAGAGGAGGAGCCCCTGCTTTCTATCTTCAGGGACGCCCCATGGGTTAACGCCTGGAAGGGTGGATGATGGCCCATCTCCCCAGGGACTTCTTCCCACTGCAATTTTCCCCTACCAGGACAGAGAGTTGCTGGGAGACCATGTACCTGGTTCCTGCTGGGACCAGCTGAAAGGATCCCTTTTCCCCATTTGAAGAGAGGACCATGGAAGGAGGCGGGACTTGCTCGAGAAGGCTCTGGCGCTCAGAGCTGCAAGTTACAGGGCTGAATGGCAGTGTCATGAATCCACCCAAGTCCCCCAAACACAAACATAGCTTCTCTTCCATTTGTACCCTTCCTAGAGCTAGCACGATCTTTCCCAAACGCTGGTACCACCACCCTGTCATCTCCCTTGGGCCTGTTTGTGACCCAAGCCTTCCAGCTACTGCCCAGTGGGTGTGTACAAGCTTGGAAGTCCATAGTGGGGCCTAGTCAGTGTGGCTATAGCCAGGTCTGGCCTGCCCATCTCCTAGGAACACCAGTTGGATCTCAGTCATCTGCACCAGGTACCCTGAGTCCCTTGTGCTGAGACAGGTGACCGAATTCGGGATGGGACAACTTTTATTGCTCTCAGTTCAGGAAATCAACTCCCTGACTCACGATGATGGTGCCATCATAGCCAATGAATGGATACTGGCTAAAGGTACCACAAATGTCCTGACCCTGCTAGTAGAGGGGAGCGGAGAAAGGACATTTTCTCTGAGTCTCTGTGTACTTCATACATGGCTCTGATTTTAAAAAATTAAATTTATTTAGTATGTGTGTATGGGGAGGGGGAGTGTGATTGCCATGGTATATGTGTGTGGAAGTCAGAGGACAGCATAGGGGATTTGGTTCTCTCAATCCACCATGTGGGCTCCAGGTATCGAGCTCAGATCATCAGGCTTGGCAGCAAGCACCCACTGAGCTGTATTGCTGGCCCTTGTGTACTGTTTTGTGTTTATTTCTGTAGCTAGCATTTGTGTATGTGTGTGAATGGGTGTCCTTGCCTCTGTGGCTCTGTGGTATGCTGAGGGGGGTGTGGCTGGTCTTAGACCCTCTGTGTCTTTGACTGGGCATAGTGCTAGCTAGGGTTTTTGGAAGTACATGTGGGTTTGAGTCAGGTCTCGGTGTGGCTGTCTCTGAGTTGCTGTGTGTTCCTGGGGCCGTTTCTCGTGGCTTCCGTTAGTGCTGTGCACCTCGGTGGGTGTGTTTGTTGTTCTGGGCATGTTTGTGACATCCTTGTCTACCCAAGGATATGTCTGAGTCTACCAGCTCCCGGCAGGAACAATGTGGATGGCTCTTGTACCCACTGTGGGGTGGGTAGGGAGTATGAGGCTTTCTCTGCAGAGCCATCCGTCCATCATTTCTGGTCTGCAGACATGACTTTCACCATAAACCTCTCCAAGTCCTCAGCCCGGCTCTGATGTCTCCTGTGAGTCTACTCTCCATGCCTCCCCTTCTGTCCAAGGTCACAGAAGCTGTGGCTCGAGTCTTTAAGCCTTGCCCCTTCCTGTGGTATCTGAGGGCATCCCTTGTCACCTTGGGGGTGCCCTGTGTCCATACAGCCTTTGCTGACCCCTTTTCCTGCCTGAAATGTGTGGCTACTTTTCATCTTTTGGAGCCAGTAATTTGGGAGAGAAAGGGATTGTGGGTCAGGTATGCATGCAGCATGGTGGCAGACAAACTTTAGTCTAGATCCAGGTTGGCATCACTGTGAAATCTGTACCCAGCAGTAGCCATCCTCAGCCCCGTCCCAGCTCCTCCCTGCCCCCAACACATCCAGGGGGCACAGGGCACCACAGCATGGTGTCCTCCCAGCGGGAAGCCTCCAGGTCCCTCTCCTCTGCCATTGGCTCTGAGGCCTGGGGAATCTTGTCTGCTCCTGCCAGGCACCCTGGGACCAGGCCATCTGCTGCCTCTGTCCCCCTGCTGCGGCTGGTACCGGTCAGCAGGGTACCCTCTGCTTTGCCAAGAACCAGCCCGCCCTCAGGGCTGTCCTTTCCTTGTTACTAACCATCTGGAAGGACCTTCCGGTCTCTAGGGAGGGCAGGGCGACCCTGGGTTGCCGGGAGTGAGGAGAAGCCTTAGGCCCCCTTACAATTCTCTGCTGTCTACGTAGCTCCAAGTGCTGCCCAGGCTCCCCAACCACTGCCCAGTGCCAGAGGTCACTGGCAATGGTCCACTTTTCTCCACAATCCTTGCACATCCTGGCACACAGGCCTGCCTACCCTGGCCTTGGTCCCAGCTGCCACCATCTACTCCCTGTCCTTAGCCCTACTGGAGCCCCGTTCCCTTTGCACGGTTTCAGTCCTGTGTTTTCTGTGCTTGGATCTGTAGCTGCAACTCCCACTGCAGACCGCCCAGTGTCTAGCCTCCGCCTTTGACCCCTCACCTCCATCTGCTTCTTCCCAGTCCTCCTGCCTGTTCCAGGGTACCTCCTGAAGCTTTATGTGGGTCTGCTCAGCACACCTCTCTCCCATCTCCAGCCCTTCACTTTCCTAACCAAGCTGGAATGCCATCTTTTCTGGGACATTTTACCTGGTCTCCCACACCAAGTGCCGCCACCTCTCAGATCCCGCCGCCCAGATTTATCACTGCCCTCCCCGCGAGTCTTTGACCGCCTCATAGTCATCTTTGCTTTTCCTTTACCTGTAGCTCTCTCTGAGGTCAGTTACTGTGGCTAGAAAGACACTTAAAACATCTGGAATGTTCCATCCTGCTCCCCCACCAGCAGACCCAGAGTCTGCCCATCCTTGGTGAACCGGAATGATCCAGCCTCGGGAGAGAATTGAGAGGCACAGGCATTGCCTACTGTCTGTTCCCCAGAGGGTGGAGGCCCATGACCCAGGGTTGTGTACTGCAGATCTCTGTCCTGTCCCTGCCCCGCTTCCCTGGTAGCCCCCTCATAACCATCTCTTCTCTTATTCCCATCAGCAACCAAACTACTGGAGTTTCAAGGTCAGTGCGCGATGCTTCTGCCTCTGTGACCACTGCATGTCCTTCCCCCCCTCCCCCTGCCTCTGCCTTGCACATGCTTTGCACTGGGGTGTGCGTCTGCAGGGGGCCCCCTCCTTTGTGGGCGGTGGGCCTGGGGCTGCCGGCTATGGCTGCTGCTTGGGGGAGAGTCTGGGTTTGTCTGCCAGGGGCTTATGGATCCAGAATGGGAGTTTTGCCGCCTCTGCTGGAGGTTTGGTCTAGAGATGCTCAAGTCTCCAGCTCTCCCAGCCTGCTAGGAGTGAGAAGGACTCCTGACACTTCTCAGCCTAGAGAGTCAGCTGACAGAGGCAGGAACCCAAATGCATGAGTTCCCTGTGGACCCTGGACCCTAAACTCACATTGTCCCTCAAAGGAAGTCCTCATGGCTGCCTCTCTTACTTCCCACCGTGTCAGGACCAGGCAACACACTTGCCATGTACCCTTAAACTTGTTCACCTTGGGGGCCAGGTCTAGGGAATGGACCTCCTTACTGCCTCTGAACAGTTTGTATTACCGAGAACTGGAATGCTTTCTTTCTCCCAACTCCCAGGATACCATGGTGTCCCTGGGGGAGTACCCTTGGGCGCTCCCTCCACCTTCCTTGGCTCCCACACCCAGAGCTGGGTGAGACAAGTTCTGCTGTGGCTTATCATATAGGATCTGTGGTCCCTGGGGCCGCAGACATTATGAGAGGGTAGCAGGCTGGCACCCAGACTGACCCGGTGTCCTAGGTGCAAGCGTTTTCTTTTCTGTAAGAAACCTTTGAATCAGAGAGTCATGGGAGCCTGTATCTGCCTGTCAGCCTGCCTCTCTGGAGGGGCAGGAGAAAGGAGAGAGTTAATGCGTGGGCCTGAGGGTCTGATGGCCCGATGGTGAATTCTAACCTGATACTAATGAGCTCAGCGACCCAGCTGTAGGTACAGTCCTCTGGGCCTTGTTTCCTCCTTTGGAAGGTGAGCAGTGTCTTCATCATAGAGGGGTCCCCCCACTCCCCTTGTGGGGATTAAATCCAGGCTCTTGAGTATACAACTCTTCAGGGGTATTGTTTTTGTTTGTTTGTTTTGCTTGCTTTTGAGACAAAGTCTCCCTGACTGGCCTGGAACAGGCTATATAGGCCAGGCTGGCCTCAAACTCACGAAGAGCTACCCGCCTCTGCCTCCTGAGTGCTAGGTTTAAAAGTGTGTACCACCATACCCAGCACCCCAACCCTTTCTTACCTTTTATTTTGAGACAGGATGTCACTAAGTTGTCCAGGCTACGTCTGTAGCTCAGACAGGCCTTGAATTTGTGATCCTCCTGCCTCAGCCTCCAGAATTGCTGGATCACAGGCATGTGCCATCAGGGCTAACTCAGAGTTGTTGAAATATTGAAGAGATGAGAAGAATGCATGTCCGAGGCAGTTTGCCCTGTTAGCAAGCTTTACCTGGTAGCTGATTTCATCAGAATTAGAGTCATGGCTGCTGACCGGATGCCAGCCTCTGGGTGCTCCAGTCGCCTTAGGCTTTCATGGGAAGTCTGGAGCCCCAGGCTTCCTTCCACTCAGAGAGATTCTGATTAAGGGACTGTGGATCCTGGAAAGAGAGTTTGTGAATCTTCCTCTCTGGTGCTTCTGCCCAAGTCTGTAGAGAGCTGTTGGGAGCCCAGACCTTGGTTTCACTGTCCTAGCCCTGGCTCCTTCTGCCTGGTCTCAGGCAAGGTCTCATTCGCTCCTTGGTGGAGCAGGTCTGATGGCTGAGTTCATGCCTCCCTCGCAGCCCCGTCCTGTATTCAAGTTCTGTTTGAATTCCTGTTTCCTTCCCTTGCCACCTTCTTTAGCCGGCACATCTAACCTGTGACCAGCAGCCATATGTGGCTGTCACTGTGGTCAAACACCAAATCATGAACTTATTTGAAACATTATAAGATTTATTTTGTGATTTTTTTTTTTGTGTGTGTGAAACTTTTATTCAGTTGTCAACTGTGAATTTGGTAGACGTCATGTCAAAAGTTGGACATGCCTGCCAGTGGTTTCTAGATGTTTCATTTTCTCTGCCTTGGTGGAGGCCAGGGAGCAGACAGAAGTGTTAATAGAGTTTCCTTCTCCTTAGAGTTTTCTCCACCCCCACCCCACCCCAGACAAGGTTTCTCTGTGTAGCCCTGGCTGTTCTGGAACTCTCTCTGTAGACCAGGTTGGCCTGGAACTCACAGAGATCCACCTGGCTCTGCCTCCCGAGTGCTACCACTGCCGGCTTAGGATTTTCTATAAAGGTAGAAAGAATGGAAAGGTGCCCATGGGTTAGGATGGAGGCAGGAACAGGCAGAGGAAGGGATGTGACTGTCTCTTTTCCCTAGAATTCCTGTGTTTGTGGCCAGCCATCCCCAGGATCCTGCCCTCTTCATACAGTTCATCCCTTCCTCTTCCTGACATTCATTTGTGTCCCCCACTCTACCCAGTGGCCACCCCTATTCTTCATCTCTGCCAGCTGCTTCATTCTGTCGCCTTTCATCGACCCTAGCCTGGCAACCACTGACCTTTCAGTTGCCTGGCAACCCCATGCCCACCAGCTTGATTCAGACTCCCTCACTCCTGCATAGGTTGCCCACTGCCGCGGCTTCTCTGGGGATGAGGTGGGAGGGGCTCTGTCACTCTGTCAGCCTAGAACTGAAGCCTAGGCTCTGAAGTCTGGACACAAGATCTCCCAAGCGGGCCCGGTTCATAACACCACCTCCCTGCTTCCAAGACCCATTTCCTCCCTGCCGGTCAAGGTATTGTGCTTGAGGCTCGAAGCCCCTTGGTGACCTCCAAGTCTGATTTTCCATGGCCCCAAGTTCTCAAGGCCACTCTGAGGACAGCTGGGCACACCGCTTGTCGGAAGATGCTCTCCTACTATGCTGTCCCTTTCCAAGAGTGCTAATTGGATGAAACATTAAACTGGCTTTAATAGGAAGACAGATTAGTTAAGGGATAATCAGGATTTGGGGGAAGAAGGACTGGACAGGAGAATAAATTATTCACTTTTAGAGGTGTTTGTTAGGAGAGGTGGTGCTTGCCTGTAATCCCACACTCAGGAGGTAGAAACAGGAGGATAGACACAAGTTTGAGACCAGCCTGGCCTATGTATCAAGTACTTGGTAGTCCAGTCATGGCTACATAGTGAGATCCTGTTTCAGAAACAGAAAAATAAGAGAGATGCCTTTGCTATTGTCTTTTTAATTGTATAAGTAATATATCCCAGTTGTTCAAAATTCAGTTTCATAAAAGAATAAAATGAATAAAGAAAGTTCTCTTAAACTAGGCAGTGGTGGCTCATGCCCTTAATCCCAAAACTTGGGAGGTAGAGGCAGGCGAATCTCTGTGAGTTTGAGGCTGGTCTGGTCTACAGATCGAGTTCCAGGATATATATATATATATATATATATATATATATATATGTATATTCTGTCTTGATTTGTGTGACTTAAGTGTTAAAAATAAGTTTATTTGTATTAGTTTGTTTTCAGACTCAGTCTCACAGTGTAGCCCAGTATAGCCTCAAACTCATGGCTATCCTCTTGCTTCAGCTTTTTCTCTGCTGGGATTATAGGCATGCACCAACGTACTTGCCTGTGAAAATAAGACTATTAAGTATAGTTGGAAAACATGTTTAATTTTTTTCATGGTAGTAAGCTTACATTTGTATGTATAATGCACATACCACAGAAAGATATAGATTTGATTCATTATCTTACTCCTTTAAATAATGTAAATGAGAGCTGAGCATGGTTGAGAATGCCTTTAATTCCAGCACTTGGGAGGCAGAGGCAGGTGGATCTCTGTGAGTTCAAGGCCAGCCTCGTCTACAGAGCAAGATACAGGACAGGAACCAAAACTACATGGAGAAAACTTGTCTCAAAACACCTAAATAAATAAATAAACAAACAGATAGATAAATTAATTAATTAATTAATTAATAAAATGATAACAGGGCTGGAAAGATTGCTCAGCAGTTAAGAGCACTAGTTGTTCTTCCAGAGGTCCTGAGTTCAATTCCCAGCAACCACATGGTGGCTCACAACCATCTGTAATGAGATCTGATGCCCTCTTCTGGCCTGCAGACAGAACACTGTATACATAATAAATAAATAAATCTTTATTAAAATAATAATAATAATAACAATCTAAACTGGGTGTGGTGGTGGCAGCAGTGCATGCCTTTAATCCCACCACTCAGGAGGCAGAGGCAGGTGGATCTCTGTGAGTTTGAGGCCAGCCTGGTCTACAAAGTGAGTTCCAGGACAGCCAGGGCTACACAGAGAAACCCTGTCTTGAAAAACAAACAAAACAAAGCAAAAACAAATTAATAATAATAATAGTAATAATAATAATAATAATAACAATCTAAACCATGGAGCATCTATACAGTAGCTGGGTTTAGTGTGGGAACTGGGGCACATTGCAGAGGTTGTGGCCCTGGGTGACAGCCAAAAGTAAGATCTAGAAAGACAATGGAAATAAGGAGAGACACCACCTCCCAGGAGACGGGGGTCAGGCAGTCCTGTGGCATCCTTCCCACTGAGCTACAGCTCCAGGCCTTTATTTCAGGGGAGGGGTTCTGGGAATTGAACTTAGGGATCTCTGAGCTATCTGTGACATCCTTCCCATTCTCAGCTCTAGATCACTTTTAGCTATAGCTTTAGGGAAGGGGCGGTCATACTCATTGCTAGGGGAGGCCAACCAGGCTGTGTGACAGTATTTATATCCCAAGGAGGGGTGGAGTCTGCACAGCACACTTGTGTGTATCACACCTGACTTTGCATGTAAACCGAGTGTACCGTTTACTTTAAATTGTGGTTCAGTTGACTCAAGGGTTTGGAAGACTCTCCCCAGTTACAAAATCCTCTAAGTCAAGAACTCTGGGCATGGACACCTCCCAGTGCTGAAAGCCTGGGGTCTCTCATTCCCAAGCCCTCCCCCCACAACTCCATGAAGAATAAATCCGCCGCTCACACACCCGCCGCTTAATTAATGTCTGGAACTAATGCTCCAATTTGCTCAACAATTCTGCTGCTCACCTCGGTGACAAATTTACGTTGTTGTTGTTCGCTGGAAGCTTAAAATAGCAGGCGTGCCCATGGGTCCAACTCAGATGGTTTCTTGTATGGCTTCCCAGGGTGCCTGAGTCCTTTGCCCACTGCCTACCCCAGGGTGTCCCAGGGAAGCCAAGGCCTTCGAGAGTTGGGGGATCTTTTCTGCAGCTGCCCAGCAAGTCTGGAACCCAGGAGACCCTCCTCTGAATGTGTGTGTGTTGCTGGCTGGCCGGAGCTCTGTGGCCCAGATGGAGGCAGTGGCAGAGCAAGGGATGGGGGTGGGGGCTCATGCTTGGTGCCTCTCGCCCTGCCCTGCCCCTGCAGACACGCAGCTCGCGCCATACTCAGGGAGCCCAGCCAGGGCTGGCAGACCAGGCAGCCAAGCTGTCCTACGCCTCGGCTGAGTCGCTGGAGACCATGTCCGAGGCCGAGCTGCCCCTGGGCTTCAGCAGGATGAACCGCTTCCGACAGAGCTTGCCTCTCTCCCGCTCTGCCAGCCAGACCAAGCTGCGCTCACCAGGTACTGCCCAGCCTGCTCGTCTTCAGGCCCTGCCACAGCTCCTCCCTCCGGCTCCTCCCGCCCTTTGCTACCCCATCTCCTGCCATCCCCTCCTCTAGCCGCAGTCACCTCCTCGAAGTCCTCGCTGTCCTCGGGCGCTCTTTCTTTCTCCTCTACTAGACCTTAGCATACCCTGCTGGCCCTTAATGCTCTCTCAGCCTCCTCTCTATTCAGCCCTTTTCTCTTTCTACAAGGCTTTTTCCATCCCCCCTCCTCCGGGCGTTCTCGCCAGCCTCTCCAACTTTCCCGACTTCCCTGCAGTTTCTGCCCCACCAGCTCCTGCCCCCAGCCCCATTTCCGCGTCCCGTCTCCAGCTGCCTGGGGTCGGTGGGTGCTTGGAGAGGCGGGCCGCAAACCGACGGCATGAGAAGCGCGTGGGTGCACTTGCACTCAGGGGCAGCCTCTGGCCTCAGACCTTGCCGCTGTGGGACTGATGCCGCTCCCGAGGGCTCACCGCACTCGCCTGGCGCCAGGCGGGCCGATAGAGACAGTGACCGTGAGGGCCGCGTCTCCTTCGCAGGGGTCCTGTTCCTGCAGTTTGGGGAGGAGACGCGACGCGTACACATCACGCATGAGGTCAGCAGCCTGGACACGCTGCACGCACTCATCGCGCACATGTTCCCGCAGAAGCTCACCATGGGCATGCTTAAGTCGCCCAACACCGCCATCCTCATCAAAGACGAAGCTCGGAACATCTTCTACGAGCTGGAGGACGTCCGGTGGGCGAGGCCCCAGGGGTTGGGTAGACTTTCCCACACATCTCCTCTAAAGAGTGCTGGACCTCTGGTGGCCCTTCCCTAGATCACTGTGCACCCTCTCTTCACCCATTACCTCCTCTCCCGAAGCCCTAGCGCCCCGCCCTTTCTGCTAAATCATCCAGTCCTGCGGGTTCCCACTGACAGGAAGCTATGGAAGTGGACAGGTGGAGACCCCCCCCCCCCCCCCCCCCCCCCCCGTGTACTTGCTTGCTGGTGGCAGGGATGCCCCTCCCCCCAGGCACCAGGAGTCTCTGAACATTGAGGTTAGGAAAGGGGGAAAGTGTTGGGTGTCTGGGCCTTCTTGTTTGCCTGAAGTAGCTGCTGCCAGCTAGGGAGAGGGAGGGCATGGTGACCCTCTGCCCGTCTCTCTACCTGACAGGGACATCCAGGACCGCAGTATTATCAAGATCTATAGGAAGGAGCCACTGTATGCAGCTTTTCCTGGCTCACACCTCACCAACGGGGACCTCCGGGTAGGTCTGGGAGCACCCAGGGCACTGGTGAGATTGGGCAGGTGAAATCTAAGCAGAATATGGAGCCTGAACAGTTTCGGAGATGGGAACTGAGAGGCTGAGACGGGCTTGTCCTGGTATAGTTGTGAGGTTGTGGGAAGTACCACTCCACTGCTCACCTGTTACCTCCCTCACTGTCCATTCAAGATTTCTCTAAAAGGCTGTTAGAGACTGGAAGACCTCTCTCCCAGTCACTCCTTTTTCTCTTCTCCTTCCTGGTCCCCGTCAAGGATGGGCTGAGGGTTGCTTTTCTGATGTCTTTCCATCTGCCGGTTTACTCCCATGCTGGGAGTACTGATGGGCAAAGGGCCGAGGATGCAGAAGGACACAGGACAGAGGGGGCTTCCTAGGCCTGAGTGGGGGAGAAGGTGAGGTGCTGGCTCCTCAAACAAGGCGAAAGAAGTCCCCTTTGTGACCGGCTCCATGGGCTTTTCGGGCTGTTTTCCGCACAGAGAGAGATGGTGTACGCGTCGCGGGAGTCGTCGCCCACACGGCGCCTCAACAACCTGTCGCCCGCATCGCACCTAGCATCCAGCTCGCCACCTCCAGGGCTCCCGTCGGGGTTGCCGTCGGGACTGCCGTCGGGCTCGCCCTCGCGCTCACGCCTCTCCTACGCTGGGGGCCGCCCGCCCTCTTACGCCGGCAGTCCGGTGCACCACGCGGCTGAGCGGCTGGGCGGTGCCCCGGCAAGCCAGGGCGTGAGCCCCAGCCCCAGCGCCATCCTGGAGCGGCGCGACGTGAAGCCGGACGAGGACCTGGCGGGCAAGGCGGGCGGCATGGTGCTGGTGAAGGGCGAGGGCCTCTACGCCGATCCCTACGGGCTTCTGCACGAGGGCCGCCTGAGCCTGGCCGCCGCGGCGGGGGACCCGTTCGCCTACCCGGGCGCGGGCGGCTTGTACAAGCGGGGCTCGGTGCGCTCGCTCAGCACCTACTCGGCCGCCGCGCTGCAGTCCGACCTGGAGGACTCGCTCTACAAGGCCGGCGCCGGCGGCCCGCTCTACGGCGACGGTTACGGCTTCCGCCTGCCGCCTTCGTCCCCGCAGAAGCTGGCCGACGTGTCGGCGCCCTCTGGGGGACCCCCGCCCCCGCACAGCCCCTACTCGGGGCCGCCCAGCCGTGGCTCGCCCGTGCGCCAGTCCTTCCGCAAAGACTCGGGCTCCTCGTCGGTCTTTGCGGAGAGTCCCGGAGGCAAGGCCCGCAGCACCGGGAGCGCCTCGACGGCCGGAGCACCACCTTCTGAGCTCTTCCCCGGACCTGGGGAGCGCTCCCTAGTAGGGTTTGGGCCGCCGGTGCCAGCCAAGGACACAGAGACCAGGTGAGGGGACCTCAAAGAAGGAGGCACTGCGGAGGGGGGGCAGGTTCTCTCTGGATTTATGTCACAGCGGGTGGTCAGAGTGTCTTCAGTGTGGCAGGATGGACACTGGATGGATGGGTGAAGCCTCAAGTGATGGCAATAGAGACCCGAGTTTGTATTTGTTCCCCAAGCCTCGGTTTACCGGGAGGGAAAATGGAGTGCTGAATCAGCCGGTTTTTTCTGTGCCCGGGCAGCAGCGAGAGCTGTCCAGCACAGAGCCCCGCTGAAATTCACTGGAGCAGGCTCGGGATGGGGAGGAGTTGGGCTTTTTGTGTTTATGTTTTGTGTTCTTGAGACCGGGTCTTGCTATGTAGCCCAGGCTACTCAAACTCAGCAATCCTTCTGCGTCAGTGTGCCCTGTGGTGAGAGAGGCCGTGGAGAGCTAGGAGTTTGGTCCTTGGCTCTGGGTTCCTGTTCTGTGTGGCCGCCAAGGGAAGACTATCTGCCCTCTGGCTGCTGCTAATCTTAGGAGTGGGGAGTCGAGTGGGCGGGTGGGGCCACAAACTCACCGGAGCCCTTGCTCAGAGCCACCTTCCTCCCCAGGGAGCGCATGGAGGCCATGGAAAAGCAGATCGCAAGCCTCACGGGGCTGGTGCAGAGTGCCCTGCTGCGAGGCTCAGAGCCTGAGACCCCAAGGTGAGAGCCCCTCTCCCAATACCACTGTCAGGGCCTGGGCTTGAGGCAGGGATGAGGGCAATGAGCCCCGTTAGAAGCTCTGGACTCAGTTCTGCCTGTGTGTACTGTGTGACTCTGAGTGATCCCCTTTTCTGTGGCTCTATCCTAAGATCAGGGAGCTCGGGTGACATTTAAGGCCCCTCAGCTTTGATGGTCTGAGGCCAGCCCAAGCTCCCGTGACCACTTTCTTTTCTTTCTGTCACAGTGAGAAGATTGAAGGCTCCAATGGAGCAGCCACCCCTTCAGCACGTGAGTGACCCTTCTCTTCCTCTCAGAGTCTTAGGATTAGTTGGCTAATCCTTAAACTGGGCTACTAGCTCCACTGGTAGCTACGTCATGGGGCTTTCCACAGATAAATGAGTAGCCAGCCATCTTACTTAGCCCAGGCACTTGACTCGTGCTAGGACTTGCCACCACTTAGGGTGGACAGTCATAACCACGTGCCTCTCTGCCTGGGTGTGGGGCCAGGAATAGAGAGGATGGCTCCTTCCCCTCGCCTTTTGCTCCACTTCCCTTATCGCTCATCCTTCTGGTCCCTCTCAGCAGCTTGTGGATCGGGTAGTCGGAGCAGCGGGGCTACTCCGGTGTCGGGCCCTCCCCCGCCCTCGGCCAGCAGCACCCCTGCAGGGCAGCCCACCGCTGTCAGCCGCCTGCAGATGCAGCTGCACTTGCGTGGCCTACAGAACAGTGCTAGCGACCTGCGTGGCCAGCTTCAGCAGTTGCGCAAGCTCCAGGTACCGACCCCCACCCCACCCCACCTACTGGCTCTAACTCCTCTCCCCCAGCTCTGCCCCCACCTTTCCCCACCATCCAGCTCTGGTGGAGTCCCTCATTGTTAAGTGGTCTTTCTTCGGGCCCTTTCTTCTCTTCCCTTTCCAGTTTCCACTTCCTCATTAAATCTTGGTCCACTCACCCTCAGTCCCCTTCTCCCTCCCTGAGCCCACCCCTTCCCCCATGCACCATCCCTTGAGGCTGTCCCAACTCCTTCAGGCTCCACATCAGTATTCCCAAAGTCCCCTCAGCTCCTCCTTCCTGAGCTTGTAGTGGCTGTCCTGCCCTGCCTGGCAGATGGTCCCACCTGTCAGGAGCCTGGCATCACTGTGCCACCTCCTCAAGAGGGGCTCAGGGCTTGTCAGGTGAGGATAATGAGCAGAGACAGGCTGAGAGGGGGAGGCAGAGAGCTGCCATCTGGGCCCCGGGTAAGATCTCGCCCACCCACGTCCTTTGGGCTCAGAACTGGACCTTCATCTTGCAGTCCCAGCCACAGCGGCAGACCCTACCAACCACAGAGTTTGAGTCCTTCACCCCAGGCCCTGTCTCCACTCAGGGCTACTTGAGGCCACAGCTACACAGTCACACTGTCCTCTGGGTCCTACCTAGTGCCACCCGTTGGCCACACCAATTCTCATCCCATTCTCCTGCCCCTGTACTCCTCCAGAATATAATCTTGGTCTCCGCTCCCGGCTGTCCCACCCTTCGCTGCTGCGCGCAGCCACAGCCATGCTGCTATAACTTGAGCGAAACCCATAATAACTTTGCCCTCTCCGTGAGCCCTATCATCCTCGGTCCGAATCTCCTGCTGGGTTCTCCCCAACTCAGCCCTTGACCCCTGTGTCTATCTTGCCACGTCTTCGCGGAGTTTTGCTTGCACCGGGCAGCCCTCTGCCAGCCTTTCCCAAGCAACATGCGTCCTCCTCCCGCCCGGTCCACGCGTGCATCCTTGCCCACGAGGGCATCCTTGCGTCCCGCAGCTCCAGAACCAGGAGTCGGTACGCGCGTTGCTGAAGCGCACCGAGGCGGAGCTGAGCATGCGCGTGTCGGAGGCGGCGCGGCGGCAGGAGGACCCGCTGCAGCGGCAGCGCACCCTGGTGGAGGAGGAGCGGTTGCGTTACCTCAATGACGAGGAGCTCATTACTCAGCAGCTCAAGTGAGGCTGGGCCCCCGCGCGCGCGGAGGGGGTTGGGGGGGTGACCCAGCCTGATTTGCATGGGAGGCGCAGCTCCTTTACTTGGGAATCATAGATGACGTTGGTCTGTTCTGAAGTCTGATTTCACCCTCCACTGTGGCCTGATTTCTCCGTGACCCACAAACCTTTGGCCATCTGGCATAATTCCTGATTTCTTTTTTTTCTGGCTTGGTGCCTGCCTCTGCCATGGTGTTGCTTCCTGTGGCCTGCAGCCTACTCTCATGAAGCCAGCTGTCTATTTCCCCTCTGACCTCTGCCTGCTTTCCTTTGACCTAAGACCTATGCAACTTCACCCCTGGGTTGAGCAAGAAGGTGGCGCATCAGAGGTGTCGTCACCTGTCCAGGTGGCTGCTGACCCTTTGCCGCCCTGATCCTTGAGACCAAGAGTCAAGGAAAACCCGCCCCCCTTGTCAGCACAGTGCAGCTGGGCTCTAGTAGTCCTGAAGGAGGAGGAACAGAGAACAACCCACTCCGAGTGCTTAGACACAGAAGGGTTAACAGAAGACAGTCTGATCCAGATTTAGCAAATGGCTGTCTGGCCGCAATTCCATTGTCTGGCACCTGGGAAGGGAGATGCTGCTGTTTTTCCCGTGTCCATTCAGGAAGCAGCGCCGCCGCCGCCGCCGCCGCCGCCGCCATCCATCCACCGCAGCTTTTTCTCCTGAGTTACTTGGGCTGAGGCAAAGGCCCCACCTCTCCTTGTGGTCCCTTTTAGTGACACAGTGCAGTAGGGGATCCAGAGACGGCTCCAGAATCAAGGGGCTATGTGATCAAGGCAGCTGCTACCCCTCTCTATGCCTCAGCGTCCTCATCAGTATTGAGATTTTTTTTGCAGTTCTTTCCGAAACAGTTGAGGGCTTGGTTTGTACTAAGAGGCTTGAGACCAGGGAGCCAAGAGAGCCGTGGGACAGTGCTATCCTACTAAGTCATATTTGGAGACCTCACCAGGGGCTCCATGAGGAGGTCACAGTTCAGCCTGGGGGCCCATGCAAACCTGGTATGCGTCTTGGCAATGTTTAAGGCAAGGAGTCCTGTAGTCCTGTAGTCCTGTGACACCATGCAGCTGAAATGCAGTAATTGAAATAAGCCAGCAGCAGCAACCCCAGCCCTCCATCATGTCCAGGTGGGGTGACTTAGTGACAGCCACAGCCAGATCTCTAAGCAGCTGCTGCCATCCTCTCGTCCAGGGATTCTGGTTCCCCGATTCCCTGTCCCTTCCTTGTCTCTTTCCATTCTGCATAGAGGAGCTGGGCCAGGATTTTCAAAAGGAGTTAGACCGAGACATTAAAGGGAAATTAAGAGAACCATCAAAGCACGGAGGCAAAAGAGATAAAAGGACTGATTTATGCCCTGGTCTTCATGAGTGTCTGGTTCCTGAATTCCTAGGGTCCTTAGTTCTCTAGGAGCATTGCGAGTCCCCATCCTCTGCCTTATCACACCCATTACTCAGACTGCTCACTGTAGAGAACTCAGGAGATGCCAATCTCCAGCCTGGCACTTGGCTCTTTTGACTGAGGCGGGGATTGGGCCTTATGATGGTTCTGGTCTGGCCTTCAGAACCATCCCCTGCCTCCTGCCCTAGCCGTCCCACGATAGCCCTGCAGCCCCTGCATGCTCGCCTGTGCTCTCTTTCTCGCTCTCCGGCGCTCTCCCTCTCTTTCTCTTTCTCTCATGTCTATTTTCCTTTGCTCTTTCCTCTTTTCTGACATCCTGCTGGCAGCTGAGGCTGGGTCTTGGTTTTGTTCCTGCTGGGCTCACTCACCTGTCTGTCTAGCCAAAGGCTTGGGCTCTCTCTGGATATTGTTCCTCTGGCTGAAGCCTGTTGACTCCCGAGTCTGTCTGCTGACCCATCGCTGGCTGTGGGAAAGGGCTGGTTTTTCCCATGTGCTAGCGAGGGCTAGGTGGGACAGCAGGTAGGTGACATCATTTAGTTTGGAAGGGAGACACATGGGAGCCAGTGGCTGAAGTTCCACATGAGTAGATACTGCTACACCACAGAATAGTTGTGTGACCTTGAACTAGTTCATTTCAGAGCCTCTGCCATCCCCCCTTTTTGAAGGCCAAACCTCAGTTAGGTTTCCTTATTTGTTTAAGGCAGCTGCTGCAACAAAAAGCTCCCAAATCATTTAATGGCTCTAAAGTCAAAGATATTAAACTGGGTGTGGTGGTGTAAGCCTGTAATCCTAGCACTTGGGAAGTAGAGGCAAAACCGTCATCAGTTCTAGGTCATCCTCAGCTGTGTATCTTTAGCCAGCCTGGGATATATTGAGATCCTATCTCAAAAACTTAAAGGGGGCAGAGCTGACTGTGGGGTTAAGAACACTTATTGCTCTTGTAGTGAAAAAAGACCCAGATTCAGTTCCCAGCACCCACATGGTGGCTCACAACCATCTGTAACTCCAGTTTCAGAGATTCTGATGTATACTTCTGGCCTCTGTGGGCACCAGGCCTGCACACAGTACTTATACATGCAGGCAAAATACTTACACACCTAAAGCTCAATAAATACATCTTTCTTAAAAAAAAAAAAAAGATAGACAGATCTTTCTGTCTTAGAAAACACTAGATGGGTTAGCAAATTTCTCTCCCATATGCAGCCAGTCAGGGATCCAGGCTGATGGAGTTTCTGCCATGTTCAGCCTGTGCCTTCTAAAATCACCCAGCAGATCATGGTCTTCATAACCAACCAGAAAGGGAAAGGCTGTAGAGGGAGCTTGCATAGGAGGTCTTTATGGACTAGTCTGGGAACAGCGTGTGTCCTTTCCATCCCCATTTCACTAGATAGGCCACAGTTGAATGCCCACTTCTAATTGCAAGGAAAGCTGGGAAATGTAGTTTAGTTTTTGAACCACTGTTTGCCCATGTGCTAACTGGAAGTAATGTTCTACCTCCAGGACCTGTTTTAAGGTTAAAATGAGGAAATGGATGTATAGGACTGATGTGGCACCTGATGAACAGGAAGTGTTTAATGCAAAAAAAAAAAGTAGTTCTTTAACCAGTGGTGCTGAATCTCGGGATTTTGCCCTTGGCTCTGCCCTGGTCGGTCTTTTCACCTCCTGGTTGGATAGTGATGTCTAAGGCATGCTGATGAGCTGGGTTGATGACACTGAACTTAGAGAGAGAGAGAGAGAGAGAGAGAGAGAGAGAGAGAGAGAGAGAGAGAGAGAGCAGACACATCAGATGGTAGAACAGATTCAAGTCATTTGCACCTGCCCTGTTGAGTTGAAATCCAGCAGGTGGGACTTGCCAGAACTGTATATAAAGTTCTGCATGTGGGTAAGGAATGCCACTGACCCAAGTCCAGGACTGAGATGACTTACCTACCCACAGCAGCTTTCTCACTTCATCTGACAATTAAAAAATATTTAATTTATAAAAATTATTTAAAAAAATATATAACATCTGTGTCTGTGTGTGGGTATATGCATGCGTGTCCTGGTTCCCACAGAGGCCAGAGGTGTCAGAACCCACTGATGTGGGTGCTGGGAATCCAGCTTAGGTCCTCTGCAAGAGCACTGTGTGCTCAAAACCGCAGAGCCATCTCTCCAGCCCCTTTCCACAATTATTGACCGTGTATCTGCTCCAAACCAGGCACTGAGCTGGGTGCTTTCCAGAGATGAAACTGGAAGAGTGCCGCCACGGGCCGCAGGAATATATCATAAGAACTCCGCTGCATGCCGGCGGTGGTGGCGCACGCCTTTAATCCCAGCACTCGGGAGGCAGAGTCAGGCAGATCTCTGTGAGTTCAAGGCCAGCCTGGGCTACCAAGTGAGTTCCAGGAAAGGTGCAAAGCTACACAGAGAAACCCTGTCTCGAAAAACCAAAGAAAAAAGAACTCCGCTGCTTATGGCAAAGTCACTACCTGAAGGGATCAAGGAATTCCTTCAGAGGAAGCCAAATTCCAAGGAGCATTTGGTGTTATTTGGCTTGTTATATATCAGCTGTCTTCTGTTATGAAAATCATGTGTGCCTTCATAGTTTTCCCAATTGATTTTTCCCTAAGAATTGCTAACAGTGTGGACTGATCACTCTTTTGACACATACATTCCAGGTATTTGGAGAACAGCCTCAGGAAAGGCTTCCCCTGGAATCAGATATCTCCCTTAGCCACTTTCAAGGACTAACAGAAATAACAGTCCAGACCACCACATGCTACTCTCCTGATTTAAGGAAAATTTCATAAGGAGACACCGCCTAGGTTAGGTGTAATAAGTAATATTAAGTAATAGCTTTGCACAATTTAGCTTGGACCCTCCTTTCTTACAGCCTTACTGACTTTATAGACCTCTAACTCCTTATGTAACCACTTCTAGAAATATTTAGATAATCTTCTGCGCTGACAGCTGTACACAGCCAGAACCCCACCAGTTCAAGCCTCCCTGTAATTATCACCATTGGCAGCATCTGGCCAGGTCCATCCCCAGACGGAGGAGAGTACCTTATCAGAGATACCTCTGCACGCTCTAAGAACAGACTACCTGTTTGAGAAGGCCTGGCAGATGTGCCAATTAAGCTTAACTTTCTCCTTTCCAAAGTCTTATCTCTAAGACTTAGAGGGTGCTTTAGACCCACCCTTAACAATTAACTCAGAACTAAAGGGTTCCAACTTGCAGATACATCTAGCTGTGATGGAAGTTGCCTGGCCTAGTTGCCTAGCGACGAAGCACATGCGCCAGAAACAGCTGGAGCAGAGATAGCTTGGAGAGATAAGGGTCAAAGGGATAAAAAGGCAGTTTTATTTTCAGAGAAGAGATATAGAACTTAGAGGTGTGAGGAGACAGAGAGGAAGAGAGGAGTGTAGAACTTGAGGGCGGAGAACTAAGAGGGATAAGGAGGATTTTGACCAGAGAGAACATGTGGATGAGATGGAAGATGAGGAAGATCCAGATGGGGAAGTACTAGCAGGGTAAGAACAAGATGAGAAGGACCTAGATGAAGCAGAATTAAGACGAGAGCATTAAGATAGAACCTAGAGGGAGCAGTAGATAAATGTAGAGAGAAATCAGGCAAGAACGGAGCTGTGTAGGTAGGATTTTATCCCAGAGAAATAAAGAAGACGGACAAAGAGCTTGGTGTACTTAGATTCATTTCCCGAAAATAATTCTCACCGTCCGTAGTTTTCTCTCTTGAGCCCCTGGCAAGTGTAATATTAAGGCTGGTCCTTCTAATATCATACAAGAGAAGACGTTGTTCTTGCCTGCTCTGAGCTAGTGGTGTAGAAAGTTCACAAGCCAGCAAAGAGGAGCCTCGGGTTTGGGAGGCAGAAGACCCAACCTGAGTGAGGAGACCGGAAGGGCTTCTTTTTGAGACCCAAGATGAAATTAACAGGGCAGTTAGCGTGTGCATGCAGGTAAATACTCGAGACTGAGTATTCTGTGGTGTTCTAAAGGGCCAGAGAGAGTAGCACTTGTAAGGACTTCGGAGAACTTCCGAATGATCTAAGCAGAAGCAAGGAGGGAAGGTAGTGATGGAAAGAGAGAGAGAGAGAGAGAGAGAGAGAGAGAGAGAGAGAGAGAGAGAGAGAGAGAGAGAGACACGCAAGAGTCATCTCCAGGGACCACTGACTGCTTTAGTCCTCATAGTAGCCACGAGGGAGACACTCGTAGCAGACCCATTTCTTTTCTTATTTTTGTTATTTCTTTTTAGACTGGTTATAGTGGTACTTTCCATTCAGGAGGATCACATGAGTCTACACAGGGAGTTCCAAGCCAGCCAGGAACTTAGAACTTTTGATACCCTGTTTAAAAAATTACATGTATTTATTTATTGGGTGTGTATACGTGAGTGCCACAGTGCGCGTGTGGGTCCTGGGGATGGAAGTCAGGTCTTCAGGCTTGGCAGCAAGTGTGCCTCCTTGCTGAGCCAGCTCACCAGCCCCGGCACACTCCTCTTGAGTGAGAAGATTGAGGCCCAGAGAGCCCAGGGACTCTTAGGTGATTGTGCAAGAGCTTTCTGCTGGGACAACAGAGAAGGGAAAAGACTCAGAGCTCACCGACTGTAGAGCTAAGTTTGGGGGTTAGCCTCAGGATGGTGGTTCCACTTAGGGTTTCATGTTATTTATCTATTATATATAGATTGTGCTTGTGTGGTATACACATGTGGCTGTGAGTGCACACATGTCTGTGGGTACACACGTGAGTGTGAGAGGTTGATATCATGTCTATTCCTTTCCACTTTTTAAAAAGATCTATATATTTTATTCTATGTGTATGTTTGCTTACATGTATGTGCACCATGTGCACACCTGGTGTTCAGGGAGGTCCGAAGAGGGTGTTGGATCCCCTGCAACTGGAGTTAGGATTCTGAACCACCATGTGGGTGCTAGGAACTGAACCCAGGTCCTCTGCAAAAGCAACAAGTGTTCATTAACTGCTAAAACATCTCTCCAACCTCCCTACCTTAATTTTGGAGGCACTGGAACTGGCCAGTGAGCCCCCAGGATTGGTCTGTCTCTGCCCCCTTTTGGATGGGTGTTGGGCGTCTGAACTCAGCTTCTCATGCTTGCAGCAGGCACTGTTCCCACTGAGCCAGCCTTGGCCTCCCTCCCACCCACACGTTAAGAAATTAACACAGCCGGGCGGTGGTGGCGCACGCCTTTAATCCCAGCACTCGGGAGGCAGAGGCAGGTGGATCTCTGTGAATTCTTGGCCAGCCTGGTCTACAGAGTGAGTTCCAGGACAGGCTCCAAAGCTACACAGAGAAACCCTGTCTCGAAAAACCAAAAAAAAAAAAAAAAAAAAAAAAGAAAAAGAAAAAGAAAAAAAGAAAGAAATTAACAGAGAGAGCGAAGACTTCGTTTACTTTTGTTGGGTTTTTGGTTTGTTTGTTTGTTTGTTTGTTTGTTTGTTTTGAGACAACTGTAGCCCAGGCTGGCCTTAAACTTGGGATCCTGTTCCCCCAGCCTTCCAAGTGCTAGGATGACACATTTGTGCTGCTGTGCTCGGCTCCTGATTTACATTTTCGGAAGATATGAGATCATATGTTTACGATAAACCCGCTGAAAACCTGAGGTGGTTTTGGCCGCAAGGTGAAGGGCTCTGTGGCAGGATCATTTGACAAAAGGTGATGGGCATGACTGTGCCCTCAGACATACACAGCCGCCTCTAGGCTTCTGTAAGACTCTGTGTGGCCTCCATGTTCTCACTGCTTCTGTGGAAGAGTTAGAGTCTGAGATTGCACATTATAGGAAAAGAGGTGCAAGCTGATGTTCCCATAGATTAGGGCTTGTGGGGAGGCCTGGGTACCTCTTAAGGAACTGGGTAAAAATTCTGTCTTTGAGGTCTAGCATTTCTGGTTTCCCTTGGGTTTGAAGCCTGGTGGATGGCTTTTGACTTTGTGAATTTTTTTTAATGTTATTTTTTGTTTGAGTGTGTGTGTGTGGGGGGGTCTTACTATGTAGCCCAGGCTGGCCTCAAACTTTCAACAATCCTCCTGCCTCAGGCTTCTAAGTGCTAGGATTACAGGAGTACGCCATTACACCTGGCTATAGCTTTTAATTTTGATCTGATTGGTGGCATAATTTCTTTCCAGCTGCTCAATTTCAGGGGGCTAGGCTGGGGCCAGAGGGGCTGAGAAGGGTCTCTCTGTGCCTGCAGTGACCTGGAGAAGTCAGTGGAGAAGATCCAGAGGGATGTGGCCCACAACCACCGGCTGGTGCCCGGTCCTGAGTTGGAAGAGAAGGCACTGGTGCTGAAGCAGCTTGGGGAGACGCTAACAGAGCTCAAGGGTGAGCCTGCCCTGGCAAGGGTGACCCTGAGGGGGTCCCCGCTGTGCTCCCCTGCAGCGTGCCGACTCCCGGGTGCTCCCTCCCAGCCAGCTGACTCCTCCTGCCCTCTCAGCCCATTTCCCAGGCCTGCAGAGTAAGATGCGGGTGGTGCTGCGTGTTGAGGTGGAAGCAGTGAAGTTCCTGAAGGAGGAGCCTCAGCGCCTCGATGGGCTTCTCAAGCGCTGCCGGGGGGTCACGGACACGCTGGCGCAGATCCGCAGGTCATTCTCTCCCTTGTCTTTAGTTTCCCATGGCTTTGCACACCGGGCCCAGACCCATAGGAACACCTGACCCCTTATCCTTACCCCGCGGAGGTCACTCTGTGCCAGCAAGATCTCTTCTTCAACTTTGACCTGTGACCCCTGCATGCAAATGCCTCGGCTCTCCCTCACACCCCATCTTAGGCTCTCCCCTCTCTCCTGTAAGATCACAGAGCCCCCCTCATGTCTGCAGGTTCCCCTCCAGAGGTTACCACTCTCACTCACTGTTCCTAACTCTCCCAACCCTAGGCAAGTGGATGAGGGTGTGTGGCCACCCCCCAATAATCTCCTGAGCCAGTCTCCCAAGAAGGTGGCAGCGGAAACAGACTTCAGCAAAGGCTTGGACTTCGAAATACCACCCCCGAGTCCTCCACTGAACCTCCACGAGCTGAGTGGGCCTGCTGAAGGAGCCCCTCTTACCCCAAAGAGCAGTAACCCCACCAAAGGCCTGGATGCTCCCGGGAAGAGAAGCGTGGACAAAGCTGTGTCTGTTGAGGTGATGGGCCAGGGCAGGGCACAAGCTAGGCTCACAGTTCTTGCTGCCACCTGGAATGGCAGGTACCGAAGGAACACATGGGCCCTTTAGGAGGAGGATCAGAGAAGTCTGATAGAAAGTATGCTATGCCGGGCGGTGGTGGCTCACGCCTTTAATCCCAGCACTCGGGAGGCAGAGCCAGGTGGATCTCTGTGAGTTCGAGGCCAGCCTGGGCTACCAAGTGAGTTCCAGGAAAGGCGCAAAGCTACACAGAGAAACCCTGTCTCAAAAAAAAAAAAAAAAGAAAAAAGAATGTATACTATAAAATGATAAATAAAGCAATATGGTGCTTGTATAAACACAGACTGGGTGGTCAATGAAACAGAATGGAACGTCCAGGAATAAACCTAATAATGTTATATTTAATGAAAGTGGTCTCTCTAAGCTACAGGGACAGTGTGTAGCACCCAGTAGGAGGGGCTAAATTCCGTGAAGTTCTCTTCTTAGTGCATGTGGCTGGGGAAGGGGCTGATTGCCAGAGCTCTAGGGTGTCACGGGCAGGAGTCCTGACCCCAGCTCTGCTTCCTCTCTCAAGGCTGCAGAAAGAGACTGGGAAGAGAAGCGGGCAGCCCTGACCCAGTACAGTGCCAAGGACATCAACCGGCTGCTGGAGGAGACACAGGCTGAACTGCTCAAGGCCATCCCTGACCTGGACTGTGCCAGCAAGGCCCACCCGGGACCCACCCCCAACCCAGACCACAAGCCCCCCAAGGCACCCCATGGTCAGAAGGCAGCCCCCCGGACAGAGCCCAGTGGGAGAAGAGGTTCAGGTATGGGGATTTAAGGTCCCATCCTCAGAGCGTGGCTTATAGGGGAGGCACTGGGAGCGAGCATCATGGTAGCTGGGCTGCTGGAGAAATGGGGTGCTAGCCTTTAGCCATCACGGGAGGGACCTGGACACAGAAGGACAGGGTAGGCTCCAGTCCATCAGTTTTCCCCCCACTATTTCTGGAAGGCTCGTGCAAGGGATACATCCAAGGAGAGTGATCCTTGCCCACCCTTCCTGAGAGAGAGACAGAGACAGACAGACAGAGAGAGACAGAGAGACAGAGGGAGACAGAGGAAAGAGGCAGTCTGCTCTGAGCAGTGCAGTGCTTACCAGTATGACAGGGCCCTGACCAGAATGTCATCCCAAGCCTGCAGGGTGGTGGGGAGGTAACATCTGATCAACAGGTACGGCCATCATTAGTTCATGCGTTCCTTCCGGCAACACTGACTGTGGAAGGTGCTTCAGAGAGCTCAGAACTTGTATTTTTATGTGTGTGGATGTTTTGCCTGTATGTATGTCTGTGCATCACGTGTGTGCCTGGTGCCTGAGGAGGCCCAAGAATGTTGAATCCCCTAGAACTGGAGTTACAGATGGCTGTGATCCGCCACAGGGGTGCTGGGAGTCAAACCTGGATCTGGGAGAGCAGCCAGTGCTTTTAATTACTGAGCCATCTCTCCAGCCCCAGAATTTTTTTTTTATTTAAAAGATTTTTAATTATCTTTGTGTGTGTGTGTGTGTGTGTGTGTGTGTGTGTGTGTGTGTGTGTGTGAATGAATGAAAGTGCATACATGTCAGGGGACCACTTGTGGGAATTAATTTTCTCCTTCTGATAGGGGATCAAATTCAGGTCATCGGGTTTGTGCAGCAGGCACCTTTAACCTCTGAGCCGTCTCTACAGGCTATGCTTAGCATGTAACGGTGGGACAGGCTGTGACATTTGTCCGGCACCTACTACATGATACCTTCTGGGGGTCAGTCCTGATGACTTTGCAGCAGCTGAAGAAGGCAGACAGTCTTTCCCTCCTTACAAAGAGGACAGACTCAAAGTGGTTACGTAATCTGTCCCAGGCCACATTTAATGTGTCCCTAGAACAAAGGGGCTTAAGTGTGGCTCCTGAGCTGGGCTGGAGCTGTGCAGTTCTAGAAGGGAAGAGAGTGCTTTCCAGTGGAGCCTGAGGAGCAAGCAGGCACTTCCCAGCTGTGAGTGCACCTTCCAGGGGGCAGAGTGGCAAATGCCAGGGAGGTGCCACTTGGCCAGAGCAGGGTTCACACTGGGCCTTAATGCAGAGCGAGGCTGAGAGGTGGCGGAAGGTGCTGGACTAGGAACTAGGACTATTTGGGTTGGTGGAAAGCCACGGGAGAATCAAAGGCGAGGGTGTTATAGTTTGAGTGACCTTTTAGTAGGTTGCCATGGAAACCAGGCTGGAGGAAGGGGGATGGTGAGTGGGACCAGGCTCTTCAGAGAAAGGCTGAAAGGCTGTAACTCTGAGTCTGGTGGGGCCGAGGAACAGCTGTGGCCATGAGACAGATCAGAGCAGCACAAAGTCCCAGGCTTGAATGTGGCCATGAACCTCAGGGGACGTTAGGATGCCCATGTTGGGTCAGCAGCTCAGGGCAGGGGGCCTGTCAGGTGCTGCAGTCTTCCTGGCTCCCAGACAGCACTGAGCAGCTGAGTGCTGTTGGAGAAAGTGGGGCTGAGTGAGCCGGTGGCAGGCATGGGCAAAGGGAAGAGAGGGGTCCTGCCTCCTCTTCCTCTTCCCTGAGATGTCCTCTTGGTCATTCTTGGAGGAACGAGTACTCGGGGACACTGTTGGGGTGGGCCCCTGACTCCAGATCCCCACTGCTTACAGATGAGCTCACGGTGCCCCGATACCGCACAGAGAAGCCCTCCAAGTCACCCCCGCCACCCCCTCCCCGCCGGAGTTTCCCTTCCTCCCACGGCCTGACCACGACTCGCACTGGAGAGGTGGTGGTCACCAGCAAGAAAGATTCGGCCTTCATTAAGGTACACTTCCAACTGGTGGGGTTCAGGGGTGCTTTAAGCTTGTGATGACCTCTGAGAGGATGGGAGTCAGCCGGTGCAACCCACCTTGACTTCTAGCTTGGAATTAGGGCTGTGTGTTGCTCTAATCCCGCAGCAGGCTCTGGCAGGGTCAGGGGTGGGTCTTCCTGGCAGGGAACCGGTGGAGCTATGGTTGGTGGGCCCGGGGTGGGGGGTGAGTCCCTGATGGAGGGAGGGAAGGACTTAGGCTTGATAAGACCCCCGGGCTTCACAGAAGGCCGAGTCTGAGGAGCTGGAGGTCCAGAAGCCCCAGGTGAAGCTACGCCGGGCTGTGTCTGAGGTGGCCCGCCCTGCCTCCACACCACCCATCATGGCCTCTGCCATCAAGGATGAAGATGATGAGGAGCGCATCATCGCTGAGCTGGAGGTGGGTCAGGCATGACTGAACAAGGCCTCAGCCAGGCCAAGTTCCCTGCCAAGCCTTCCTCAGGGCTGGGCAGCAGGCCCTGGGCAGGCAGGAGAGTGCTAGCCCTAGGACCCATTCTTCTAAGCTTCCATTTCTTCTCCACTGTGAAATGGAAGGAGAGTCTAAAGTTCCTCCTGGTAGGTTTGAGTTTTCATTATAATCTATCTCTCAGCTCCTCCAAGGACCCAAAGACCCACTATAGCCTGAAAGCCCCAGACCTGCGTATTCCGAGCTTACTGAGACTCTACCCAAGCAATCTTGAGGACAGATCATGCTCCAAAACCCTCGTGCCTCAGTATTCTGGGACCAGAATCTTGGAGACCCTCATGCTAAAGGGCCTAGCATTATTACAAGACACAGCTTGTAGGGAGCAGAGACTCGAGAGACTGCCCAGTGGGTCAGTGACCATGGTGAGGTGCCAAGGGTGAGACTGGGGCCCATGCCATCCTGGGCCACTCTCCACAGGTGCCTAGGTACTCAGCCAGCACCTGGGTCCTCACCGGAGCCCCGTCCTCCAAACCTGCCCCTGCCTTCTGCTCCCCAGGTGTTTGAAAGAAGTTCAGTATCTTCCCTTCCCCCTACGCCCCGTCGCCAGCCGATCCCCACCTTGCTGTCCCCCCAGGACCTGGGGTCCCCTGGGGGCTCAGCTCTGGGCTTCCCATGGAAGGTAACAGGCCTCCCGGGCCTCCCTGCACCTCTCACGGCTCTCTCTGCCTGTTCCTCCACAGCTTCCTTTTCCGCCCCCCTCACGCTAAGCCGCTAACACGCCATCCGCGCCAGCCCCTCTGCCACTGCCCCAGCTTCACGCACATGCCAAGGGCAGCGCACAACTGCACAACTTGTCCCTTCCTGAGGCTTCCTGGGGGGGGGGGTGGTCTTCCTTGGAGACTGAAGCTTGAGTGTCTGGTGTGACCCTTAAGTTCACTTCCAGACCTGATTCTATCTGGCTCTTGGATGTTTTGTTCCCATGTACAGCCTGAGTTTAGGCTGGGTCCAAAGCCTGTGAGTTGTCTTGGGCCAAGATTGGAATTTGGATCTTGTTCGGGAAATGACTTAGAGTCCAGCTCGATCCGACCTTGTCCTGAGACCTTGCCTGGTCCCTCCCTTATGCCCTGCTCTGCTGCTCTTGCCAGGAAGGGGCCCTGCTTCTCTCACTGAAATCTGTGCCTTGCACTGGGGTGCTCAGGACAGAGCAGGGGGATGGCTTCCCTAAGCCTCTCCCTGCCCCATGGCCATTCCTGCCGCCTTGGTCAGGGAGCTTGGAATGAGAGAAACCCGTGGTCTTCCTTGGCTGCCGGGTTTCTCTTTCAGCATTGAGAAGTTCTTCCTTCTCCTAACCCCAGCCTTTGCTGCTCTTCTGCTGTATTTACTTCCTCTTGGGATGGTTGGGGGTGGGCCTGCTGTCTGCAGTCCAGGGGACTGTGCTTGAGGAGTGGGGTGGGGAAAGGTCTGGGGGAGCTCTCCCTCTGCCCAGCCAGGTTTGGGGTAAGAGGACCTCTGTCCTCAACTTCCCATGCACACACACACCCCTCCCCTTCCTTGTGTGGTTTTTCCCAGCCCACAGTGGGGTCCGTGATGGCAGCCACCAGCACTGTGGCCTGGCTTGAGGCCTGGTGGCCTTTGGTTTCCTGGCAGGGGTGCAGACAGGCATTGGAAGGTGGACAGCGGTGTCTGCAGTCCACCCCAGCCGTCCTCAGGGGCTGAGCAGTGTGAGAGGGGCACTTCCTGACTGGTTTTGTCCTCAGCACCCAGCTCTGCCCCTTTGTGGTTCTGGGGCTCAGTCATGAGGGGACCCAGCAGGCAAGCCCCCTTCCCTGGCTGCCTCTCTGCATCCTGAGGCCCTGTCAGGCAGAGGAGCCTGGCGAGCTGGGGGGCCCTCTCTGCCTTCCCTGTGTGCACCCTACTTCCAGGTAAGCAGTGGCGGGGCTGGGTGGGTTGCCTTGGGTGGTGTAGGAGGGGTCTCCCCCCAGTTTGTTTAGTGCAAAGAGCGCTGGACTTGAACCTAGGCTATCTGGGTCCAGATCCGGGCTCTGCCACTAGCTAGCCGAGGGTTGGACGAGATATGAGTCATAATGCTCCTGACCTGTGAATCGGGGGCAAGGAGAGTGACGGTCATTTCATGGGTTGCAGAAAGCCTTGAAGATAAGCCATAGTATCTGACATGGGCTGATACTTACAGTTAGAGCAGAATTCACTCAGGTCACAGGGTCCCTGAGGCCTCTGAGTCTAGCCCAGAGCCATAGCCAAGGTGCTCACACAGAAACAGGTGCCCAACTGCAGCATTGGCCGGTGTGTGAGACCCAGGAGCTGGCCATGGCCAAACTCCTCCCCTTTATAGCTGAGTTCACCGAGCAAGGCCTCACAGGTGTGAGTCCAGAGCCCAGGATGAGGAAGATGGCCCCTCCTTGAGGTAGAAGCCAGCATCTACTCTCTGCAGAAGATCTCGATTATTTGGCTCAATTCAGCCAGTAGCTTATGTTTGCTCAAATGATGCCAGGCACTTAATAGAGTGTCCTCCTGGACTCATTTACTTTGCTGCGCACCCCATGTTACTGTCTCATTGTGCATGGGATGAAGCCTGAGATTTACTCCCAAGTTTACCTGGGTGATGGGAAAGGAACGCACCCCCATACTTCTGCAGCTGGCGGTGAGACAAGGAAGCAGGAGACCGTAGGTTGTGCGGATGGAAAGACACCAGCACTCTAGGCTCAGCTTTGCCTCCAGTTTATTGGGTGACATCATCAGGACGTTCCCTGACTCAGTTTCCCCATCTGGGAGAGGAAGGAAGTGGGCTCATCCCAGCTCAGGATTCAGTCTGCAGGGATCACAGTCCTTCTCGTTTTCTGTCCCCCAGGCTGCCTCAGGTCCCAGGGTCCTCTGTATCCCTCAGATCATCTTGACAGAATGCACTTCCAGCTCTCCCTCTCTGTCAGAGACCAGCTTAGAGGAACTGGGTCCCAGGACAGTCCCCACACCGAGACCCCGGACCCTGGCTGGCAGTGGAAGGGCTTGGAATGACCCACAGGCCTTGCCAGGACTAGCTGCTGAAGTACTCTGGCCCAGGAGCAGCTCTCTATCCAGAAATAAGACAGCAGTTCTACAGAACCCACACAATGCAGAAGCCGGAGTTCTCTGTCCTTGGGGACCATCCCCAGATGAAACTCAGAAGCCTTTTACTGCTGAGACCCACTCAGAGGAGACCCCTCAAAGATCTGAATGTGACCCTCAAGCTTGTAACAGAGCTCAGCAGGCCATCAGCTCAGGCAGCACAGTACAGGATGCTACCCTGCTGCGTATGGACAGCCTGGAGGAGACGCTCCAGGAGCTAGAAGCCACCCTGAGCGAGATGCGCGCCAACACTTTGAAGTGTCCGAGCAGCCCCCAACCCCCACCCCCACGCCCCCAGGTGGCTGCCTCCCTCTTCTCCCCTGCTGCCTTCCTTCTCCAGTCTCTGGGCCTGCAGAGTGGAGAGAGTGGGGCCACCGGAGCTCTGCCCACCTCCCTCATTCCCACTGTCTTTGTTTCAGCCTCCCACCCTCCGAGAGCCTGTTTCCAGGCCAGGGCCTATGGGCAGAGCCAGGGGCGGCCGGGAAGCCGGCCCACCCAGGACTCAGCTCTGCTGCTTGGGCGTGAACCAGGTGGGCTCTGTCCCTGCCTGCTCTCTGTAAGCCAGAGAATAAAGCTTTCTCCTCTTCTCCACCCCTTTCTCCCCCTCCTGTCTCTGAGTCTTTCTGTCAGCTGTTCCACGCTCGCGCCTCTGGGTCCCCAGAGTCTCTCTGGGAAGGGCTGTTGCATGACTGGGATGGCCAGGGGGCCAGATGTGCCCCTCTCTGGGGAGGATATTTCACCTTTTGCCTTCCGCTCTGGGGGTGGTGTGGGCCTGGGGATGTTCTCTTCTTAGAGACCCCAATTCCAGCTCTGTCTCCTGGACCAGGATGGTGTCCTTGGCTGGGCGTTGAGTGGCACTGGGGCCTTCTGTGTAAAAGTAGCTTCCTAGGAGGGTACCAGCTGCCCCTGGGCCACTCAGGAAAGTCACAAATGAGCTCTCACTCAGGACAAGGCCTCGCCTGATCATCTCCTGCAGGGAGGCCTTGAACCTGGGCTCAGAGGGACTTGAGTCTTGGATGCTTGTGTGGACTCAGGGAAGGGATCTCCAGGCCTCCAAGGGCCTCCCTGCGGAGGTCCTAACCCCAGAGACTCCACCCAGCCTTAGAGTTCCACCAGAACTGTCCCACCCCAGCCCTGTTTCTCTTTCCACAGAGTGGTGGTGGCAGTGTGCCACCCATGAAGGTGGTGACTCCGGGAGCGTCTCGGCTGAAGGCGGCGACCCAGGGCCCAGCAGGCAGCCCGGACAAAGGCAAACACAGCAAGCAGAGGTCGGAGTACGTGAGGATCCAGGCCCAGCAGCAGGTGAGGGTGCGATACGGGACACCCAGGCCCCTGGAGGGTCGTACGCCAAGCCTCCGCTGTGTGCCACTGTTCCAGTGATGCTTTCAGTTACTGTGGGTCCCTCCCCCATGATGCCCGACCTCCATCTTGTTCCTCCTGCAGCCCCAGTGCTTTGGATCTGGTTTAGACAGGAGTCCCTGAATTCCCAGCCAATTTCCTGCTCAAGGACAGAGGAGCCTCGCTCCCTGCCTGTGCATTCACCTCCCTCCTCAGTGGCTGGGTCCCTTCTAATGCCAGCCTGTCCCACAGCCGTCTTACCCTCCTGCCCGCCTTTGCTTTGGCATGGCCACCACCTGCTCTGCCCTTTCATTCTGTCTCAGCTCAGGAAGAAGCTGCTTTGGCACCTGCTTTTTAGTCACAGGTTGGTGGGCTCAGCTGACCTTTGTAAGGCCGATGAGGTGTGGTAGGAATCCTGCAACAATCCCTTTGGGTTCCCTTCGAAGGTTTGGAGTTGACAGACTTTACTCATGGTCCTTGTGACCCTGGAGCCTGCTTGTGTGGTCTGCCTGGTCAAAGAGTAGAGGAGGGCCCTGGATGTAGCTGTTGAGAGCCCTTCAGTGTGCGCTTGCTCAGTTCAGAACCTCTCCTGAGTAGCTCCTATGTGCCAGGCCCATTTGAGGTCCCAGGTAGGCCTTGCTCTGTCCAGATGGAGACCCTAAGCTCAGAAGTGGAAGGTTAGGGATGGCCGCCGAGGCTGGCTATGCAGTTCAGCTTATAGCAGGAGAGAAACTTCCCAACCTGCACAGCAATGGCATTAGAGCCAAGACTGACCTAGCTGTCTTAAAACCCTTCCCACCACAGGCCCCAGATAACCCTGGCACACAACCTTGTCTACTTGCTGGCTCCTGGGAAGACAAGCAGTCAGCCCTCCCCCAGCCTTTCTTGACCAGCCCCCACTTTCTCGTGAGCCCCAGGCCCCCCTGTGAGACCCATCTTCTCAGTTCTTTTCTGCTACTACAGTGGGCACCTCTTGTCTTGTCTGTGGTAGTAGAGTCCCCCTCATTCATGCCCGGAAAAACAGCTGGTGGCCGTGGATGTTTTCTTGTGCCAGGCGCATGCAGTGTCTGTTTTCATAGCCGTCTGAGGTAGGACCTTACCTCAGTTGGAGAGGTGAAGAGCCAGACTGGATGAAAATCCACGCCATTTGACAGGCCTCCGCCATGTACACGCCTGCTCCGGGCCAGTCAGTAGCCCCCACTACAGTTCCACATCGCCACCCCCACCCTGTGTTCTAGCTCTCCTGAAGCCCCGTCCTGCTACCTGTTGTCCTGTGGGTCAGCTTTGGACATCCTGGGCCTCACCCTCCTTCCTACCTCTCCCCAGGGTGTGGCCAGGCCTCCAAGGGCCATGCAGGCAGGCTCTTTGCTCTCTCCCCCTACCTCTGGGTCATGTGGCTGTCTAGACATTCCCCATATCTATGCCTGGCTTAGTACTCCCCTACCCCCAGCTTTCCCATCAGCCCTCCCTGGTTCCTTTATGAACCTCAAAAGCTTGTTTGAAGGTTTGAGCTGGAGAGTGCATCTCCTTGTATGCCCTTGGCCCAAGGATAGTCTTCTCTGGAGGAAAAGGGAAAGGTTGTCCTCTTGGACCAACCATGCAGCTCTGGGAGAGGTGCATATGGAGCTATGAGGAAGGAGGGGTACCTACCTAGCCAGACAGACCAGCCAAATCAACCCTGACAATCAGTGAGGGGACAGATGTCACAGCCAGGCCACTGTCACATACCTGCCTCCTTTCTCTTCCTACTTTGCCCTGCCACTGTGGTGGGCTCCTCACCTCCACTCCTCCTCTGTCTGGACATAACAGCCCTTCCAACCTGTGGCTTCTACAGCTGTAGTCCCCTCAGAACCACCACCCAGCCCCCAAACCCCACAGCTGCTGGGGGCCACTGGTCCCTCTCTGCCCCTCCCCACCCAAGGACGGGCCTCTTTCCCACCCTGCTGCCCTTGGCCAGGCCGTTCCTGCCCCTCTGCTGTACCAGGGTCTGCCCTTTCAAAACACATTCTCTTTCTGACAAAGCTGTACATGTTTCTTAGGAGATTTGTTAAATAAGGAAAACAGTAAAGTAGCAGATATGGGGAGGTTGGGCTCAGCGGAGGATTGCCTGCCTGCTAGGGATGAGGCCCCAGGTTTGATCCCCCAGGACTGTCGGGAAAAAAAAAAAATGGAAAACCAAACCAGGCGGTGTCACCACCTAAATTCATGGTCTTCTAAGGTCATCTGTGACTACTGTCACCTCTCATCGATTTTCTAAGACCTGTGAGGACTTTCTAAAGTGCAGATTTGATGGTAGCTCACATACATAGCAGTTTTAAATCTGTGCCCTCAAACCCCAGACTGAATCCCTTCACTGCTGCCTTGGGCCCTTCACCGGCTGCTCAGGCCACACGCTGGTCCTCCCTTAGGCTCTGCTCCGGCGTGCACACATGCTCTGGCCACCTCAGTGAGTGACAAGGTCTCACTCAGTTTCCTAGGCAGACCTCGACCTGTGGATTCTGCCTCAGCATCCTGAGTAGGTCAGATGACAGACCTGCGGCACTAAGCCTACCCTCGGAGCTCTTGTACCTGATGAGATGAAGAGAATTGGAAGTGGTGGGGACCAGGGACGCAGGTGCAGAAAGGAAATTCCAAGAGGGCTGGGCATGGCAGTGGACATGACAGAGGCGCCGCTGTGCGTCGGACCTAAGGTGGATGGGGTAGGAACTGCATTCCCAGAGCTGAGGAATCCGGGGCTTGGTGAATGGACACCTCTTTTAGGCCAGCTACTTACTCTGTCTCTTAATGACTCACGCGAGGGAACCACCAGAGTACTGAGGGAACAGAGAGACCAGGGACTAGTACTAACTGCAGCTGTGAGCACCCTAGGGGGAGAGAGTCGGGGTAACAGCACAGAGTCCGGTTCCTGGTAGTCCTTGGGTAGCACCAGAATGGCCTGGCTAAGGCAGCCAGCGAGGTGTGCGGCTCCAGCCTGAACCAGCCCCATAGGGGACTCGGGGTCAGAGCATGGAGGGACAGGTGTCCTGCAGTAGCCTGAGTATCTGGTGCAGTGTGGTCTAGCAGGGGAAGGGTGCTGCCATGGCCTCTGTGTCCAGAAGTGTCCTGCTTCTCCCAGAGGAAAGCTGAATCTCTCTGAGGCAGGCCTCTGTCTCGTCACAGAGGTGGGGAAGTTCTGCTACTTTTAACAAAATCAAGACCCATGGGGTGGAGGGAGGGCCTGGAGAGATGGCTCAGTGGTTAAGAGCAGTCGCTACTCTCACTGAGGACCCAGGTTCAATTCCCAGTGCCCACACAGTGGTGCACAACCATCCGTAGCTCCAATCACAGAGGATCTGGTGCCCCATGGGTACATCTATGGGCATCAGGCGTAGATGTGGTGCACAAACATACATACATGCAGGCAAAACACACATACACATAAAATAATAATAATAAATCTTTAAAAAAATAAAACTCACAGAGGACCGTTGGCAGGTGACATGGATGTACAGAAACCCTCGGAGACTAGGGAACTCTGAGCGGCATAGAGTCGCTTCATGGATCATGGGTGGAGCAACAACCATTGTATCCCTAGGTGGAAGCAGGCTCGTAAGAACTCCCCAAAACATGCATCCCCATAAACGTGTGAATGCAGCCGGGTGTGGTGGCACACGCCTTTAATCCCAGCACTTAGGAGGCAGAGGCAAGCGGATCTCTTGAGTTCGAGACCAGCCTGGTCTACAGAGCCCCTGCCTCCTGATGCTGGGATTAAAGGTGCATGTTACCACCACCAGGCTTCATTTTTTATTAATGTGCATGGTTGTGAGTCAGAGTCAGTTTGTACACACCTGTGCACCATGTGTGTGCAGGAACCCATAGATGCCAGAAAAAGGTGTTAGAACCCCTCAATCTAGAGTTACAGGTGGCTGTGAGCTGCCGTGTGGGTGCTGGGCGCTGCACCCAGGTCCTCTGCAAGAGGAGTCAGTGCTCTTAACCACTGACCTGCCTCTCCAGCCTCTGAGCTAACTTTAAGGGGACACTAAGGCAGAAGTGGGGGGGGGCAGAACTGAACCCAAGGCAATTGGCAGAGAGGACTTAGGTGCCTGATTGGAGTTTGTTCTGAGGCCCGGGTACTGGAGCCAGGAGGGCTGGGTCACACCTGGCCCATGGCAATGGACAAAGATTGCCGTGGGATAGGACCCTGACTGATGATGAGGGCCACGGTAGAGGACACACTACTGAATCCACAGCTTGCTTTGACTCTCCTGGAAGGGAAGCCTTGGCTACCAGCTGAAGCTTGGTAAAGCCTATATAAACCGCTGGCGGGCCACTCGCACACCTGCCAAAGAGGAGGACGTAGTTACCAGCCATGGGGCAGCCTCCCGGTGTCCTGAAGGCTGCGGTAGGCAGGGCTCGCTTGAGGTGGTAGTGTTCCACTCCAGAGTACTCGAGAGAGCCTTCTGGCGGCAGGGTGGCCCCATAGGTCCTTAGGAAGAGACAGGCCTAGCGTTGACCTCAGGCCCCTCAGGCAGGTCACTGGAGTGTGCCACACTCTTCACTTTTTCTTCATAGTGACTTTCGTTGGTTGCTTTGGTTTGTTGATACAGGGTCTCGCTGTACAGCCCAGACTCTCGCCTTAGTCTCTTTTGTTGTTTTTTGTTTTGTTTTTGAGACGGGGTTTCTTTGTGTAGCCTTGGCTGTCCTGGAACTTACTCTGTAAACCAGGGCGGCCTCGAACTCAGAGAGATCTGCCTGCCTCTGCCTCCTGAGTGCTGGGATTAAAGGCGTGCGCTGCTGCTGCTGCTACTACCACCCAGCTATTTTTTTTTTTTTTTTTTTTTTTTTGGTTTTTCGAGACAGGGTTTCTCTGTGTAGCTTTGCACCTTTCCTAGATCTCGCGCTGTAGACCAGGCTGGCCTCGAACTCACAAAGATCCGCCTGGCTCTGCCTCCCGAGTGCTGGGATTAAAGGCGTGCGCCACCACCGCCCGGCTATTTTTTTTTTTTTTTTTTTTTTTTAATCACGGCCTTTCAGTTACCACACTGGTAGCTAAACTCCAGGTGAGTCATTGGATTTAGTTACAGGGTTTGAGCAGTCCGGTCTGTGTCACCCTCACCCAGTGTCACCCTCACCTGCTTAAAATGCACACTCCCACCCCAAAGTAGAGATGGTTCCGGAAAGGGTACCAGGAACCTGCATTTGTGATACAAGCCATGGATTGTCCGTTGGAGGTGATGCAGGTGGTTCTTAAACCATACTTTGGAGACCATGACTCCAAAGGACCAGCCTGGGGGCCAATATAGAAGTAAGGAGGGTGTGTGTGTGTGTGTGTGTGTGTGTGTGTGTGTGTGTGTGTGTGTGTGCACAGGGACTTCTGACTGGGAGAGCTAGCCTGGGAGCATAGCCTGGTCTCCAGCTACTGTTAGGAGCACTCAGAGCTGGGGGACATGACCAGGGAGGCTACAATGGGGATTCTGGGCTGGGAGGGATGCTAGTGGATGCCTTCTCTGAGTTTCCAGGTGGGGCTAGCTCACACCAGGGGCCTTCTGGTGAGCACTGGCCTCCCACCGAGGCCAGAAGCTGGACCTTTCCTGCTGGGCTGAGCTACTGACCCCCATCTGCCAGCTTCAGATGCACCCCTGTTGCTGCTAACTTTTTACCTCTTCTCCTCCCACCTTGCCCGCTCTCCCACCCCTTGTCCCCTCTGCCTGTCCTGGGCTGGGTCTCTTCTCCCTTCTGTCTTTCCTCTCAGTAACCATGGACTGAAACCACCCCCACTCTGGTTTCCAGGCCTTTGATCAGCCCCATGCTTCCCCTCACCTTCTTTCTGCCCCCCTCCCTGCCCCCCAGACACTTCCCCACCCTGCCCTCGCAGTTGAGAGGGCTACTCTCTCCAGATGCCCCCTCTGGTTTCTCGCTTTTGCAGTTAATTTTCTCTCGGACTCATGGAAATTTTCCATTTTCCCACACTTCAGCCAGGAGCCAGCATGGAGGCTGGCTTTCCTCTCTCTGACCCCTGACCCTGTTTTTGTTCCAGGCCACTAAACCATCTAAAGAGATGAGCGGGTCGAATGAGACCTCGAGCCCAGTCTCAGAAAAGCCCTCTGGTTCCAGAACCTCCATCCCTGTATTGACTTCCTTTGGGGCAAGGAATTCTTCCATCTCCTTCTAGAAGCCCCTCATGCCACCACCCCAGCCTGCCCTCCCTCACTCCGCATCATTCTCCACTTCCTCTCATGCCCACTCCGCCCTCCCCACTCTCACACCTGAAGGGTTTTGGGGCCATGGCCCTCGGCTCTCTCATCTCCTCTTGGTGTTTTTGGTTTTTCAAGTGATTCTCTCTTAATTATCTTTTCTTCCCTCCTTTTTTTTAAGAGCAAAAGAGAAAACTAAAAACCAAACACACCAACTTCCCTGACTTCCCGTTCCCTAATGGCTCCTGCTCCGCCTACTTCCTGTCATCTTCTCTCCCTCTGCTCTTTCTCCCTCTTCCCCCCAAATCCATCCAAAGTTCCCACCCCCCCTAACTTCCCAAGAACACTTGGAACAAACTCTGAGCCACGGAGACTTGCAGCGGAGAGAGACCCCCCTCCCGTTACTGGGTTCCTTCCTGGAGGAACAAATGGACATGGACTGACCCAGCATCAGGCTGGACAATGGACACGGGAGACCCTGGCCTTGGAGACACCCCACTGCCTGTCCAGCCTTCGAAGAGACAGAACTCTGCTGCTGGCCTGCCGTTTCCTCTCGAACCAGGGTGGGCCTGTAAGCAGGCCTGCTGGATGGGATCCCCAGTGAAGAGGCCAAGGCTGCGTGTGTGTTGTGGGGGGAGGGGGACACGAGGTGCCAGGGGATGAGCCGGCTCACTGTTGCTCAGTGTCTGGCTGGTGCTAGCAAAGGACAGAAGGAGGCCCCCTGTTCTGGAGGGGTGCTCCTGTGGACAGCCTGCCCCTGGGGCTCTGCCTTGGGAGAGGGCAGCCCTGAGCAGGGCACTTGGTACTTTTAGTTTCCTAATTTAGCACTTTAAATGCCATTAACTTATTTTACGGGGGTGGGGTGGGCAAGATGGAAGGGCCTAGAAACATGTTTGGAGGGTGGGAAGGGCCTGGTTGTGAGGGACATTGGGAGAAGGGGGTGGGTGCAGTAAAGACTCTGACCCTTCTCAGAGGCAACTTGACCTTCAACCAGCCTTTATGATTTGAGGGTTTTCAGGGAAGGGGTGAGATGTGATTTGTCTGTGAGGATCTGGTGACCACCGTGAGGTGTTTGAGGATCCCCAAGGCAGGACCACCAGCTAGTACTCCAGTCTGTGGATACCTTGCAGGAGTCCTGAACAGGGCAGACTGGCTTTTGAGCAGGCCCTGGAGGCAATGGGAGAGGCTGGCTTGATCCTGGCCTGGTCCCCAGCAGGCACAGAGGGGCCAGAGCAAGAAAGAGGTTGATAGGGGAGGGCTGGAAGGCTGACGGGGCTCCATCTGGAGCACAAAGTAGAGGAAGCACAGAGATGCGGGCTTGGGACTCGTCCCCCAGTAAGCACAGAGAGGAACCATTGAAGGGACAGAACCCCAAGGCCCCGGAGCCTGGCTGGGGAGGCCAGTGGCAGCTGTTGAGTTTGGGGAGGGAGGGAAAACTGGGTTGTGTTTCTTTTCTTTTTTTTTTTTTTTAATTTCTGTTTTGTTGGTTCATCCTTGTTTTCTAGCTTTGGGTCATTTTTTGTACCAAGGCAAGCAAGCCTTTTTGAAAAATAACAAAAGAAGAAGAAGAAAAAAAAAATCCCTCCCAGAAAAAAAAGAAAAAAAAAACACAAAAAATTTAAAAAAAACAAAAAAAGAAAAAAGAAAACAAACAAAAAACCCTGGAAAATAGGGGAGAAAAAAAAAGGACCTCACAATGATGCAATTACTTTTAATTGCAAGCAACTCTTTACATTTAAGTGAAGTGTCTTAACATTTTATATTGTTTTAAAAATATATTTACATATTATATATATATAATATACGTAATATAAATATATATAAATATTTAAAAAAGAAAAAAAAAAAAGAAAACCACAGCACACTCTCCCTGGCTGCTGTCTGGCAGGGGAGGGGGCTGGGGGACAGGCGTGTGACCTGGCTTCTGTAGTCCGGTGAAGCAGTTTGATTTGGCTGTACAGAGACCCCTGGCTTGGGAGGGGAGGGGGAGGGGCCCCTCCACTCCATCTCTCTTTGCTTGCTACTCTTTGCTTGCCCCCACACCCCCTCAGCCCTGTGACTTGAGTGTGTGCCCCTCTGTCATTGTCCTGAGTTGAGTATCCTTTGTGGAGGGAGAGAGGGAGGGGGAGCCAGGAGAAGTGACCATCCATATGGGGGTTGCCCACATGCTCAAGCAGGGCCTGTGGGATTTACAGAGCTCTTCACTTTGGTTCCTGCGCTTGTGTGTGCTGGAGGGCATTGGTATGGGATTGTGTGCAGCCTATGTGTGTGTGCACATTGGCACAAGCCTACACAACTTAAGTGTGTGCACATGCATGGAGTGTGTGTACATAGGCAGAACTTATATTGTACGTGTGACATTCTATACATGTATGTGAACATAACCTGCCTGGGCATCAGCATGATCGTGTGAAAGGAACCGTGAGAGTAAGAACATGTGTAATGTGCGTGCAGACATGCCTGGCTGTTCATGTGAGCACCATATATGGATGGATAGAGGTAACATGAGCTGTGGGTATGGCTGTGTACAGATGCAGGCAGGCGTGTGAGAGGGCCTCTGTGTGTGTCAGTGTGCGTGTGCATGTGTGTGTGTTCCATCATCCCTGCACCACTCACCCGGCTCCCCTCCTGAGGCCTCCCTCCCCGCACCTTCTCAAAGCCCACAGCACGTCAATGCCCCCTCTCAGCTGCATGCGCCTCGCCGCCGCTCTGTCCATCAGTGTGTGCTTGCCAAGAGAAACTGCCACATTGGGGGACCCTGTACCCGGTCCCCTCACCCCTGCCCGCTGTGCTGTGTTACTCGCATGGGGGGTTCTCTCTGGCCCCTTCCACAATATACTGTTTCCCCAGGGGCCTCAGGGCCAAGGCTTTAGTGGGTCCCAAGTGGGGCCCCCCAAGGCCAGCCTGGTTCCACACCCACTCATCCACCCCGTAGGGCCTGTGTTGGTGTAGCAGTGATGGCTTCTGTGGATATCCTGTGACCTCTGTCGGTGTAACTTGACAATTTCTAAATGGAAAGGGTTGCTGTGTTTTCTGTCTCTTTTTTAATGTCTTTTTTTCTTCCCTACCTCTCTGCTTTCTTCTCTTCCCTTCTGGTTTTTTCTAGCCGAGTGTTGGGGCTTTAATAAAACTTGTTCCTTTTTTCTCTCCTGGATCTTCTTCCTCTGGGCTTCTGCCTCGTTATTTCTCTTCTTCACCTTCAGGGGCCTGGAAGGAACTGGGGTGACTAACACAGGGGTGGGGACTCTCTGACGCCAGCATGCCTCACATCGGCGGGCATGGCAGGGAGAAAGGACAGACAGGATGGGAGCCAGAGGGCTGGCACTACCCAGGGCTCATGACTGTTGATGCCGCTGGGATATGGAAGAAAGACCCCACGAATTATTTATTTGGACTTTCAAGGCGGGGTTTCTTTATGTAGCCCTGGCATTCCCGGAACTGGTTCTGTAGACCAGGCTAACCTCAAACACAAAGGCCTCTCTGTCTGCCGACCGAGTGTTGGGAGGCATCACACCCTGCTAACCCCGCTAATTCCAAAGAAACAGCTCTGGATTGGATGATGCAGGAGAGGCCCCATCTAGTCCCCATAACTACCAGTGAGGTGACTCTTCACACCCATGAGTGACAAAGCCAGCCCAGAGATACTGAGTCACAGAACTAGCAATCTGTAAACTCACAATTTGAATTCAGCTCCACCTGGCCCCAAAGCCAATGCTTAGAGGTGGAGCAGTGCCATGTTGGGTTTCAGCCTCTGGCCCTCTGGGAGGAATGACCCTTCATGTCATGTCTAGGACAGTCACTTTCAGACTTCCGGAACTAGCAGGAACTCCCACCTGAAACACCGAGATGTAATGAAATGTACCTGCTCCCCACACTGCTCAGGGAATGGGCAAGCTGTCCTGCTCAGGGTTTTTGAGTTACTAGAATCCAAAGGTCTGCCACAGCTCCTGCATGGTCTGACACAGAGGCTTCCCCATATTCTACTTGGCAAGGCCTGGAGTTACCAGACCTTTTCGACCAGCCATATTCCCCAGTTACCTCTGTCCCGTGAGGTGGCAGGGTCCTGAAGCTACAAACTCACAGCCGTTTTTGGAACCTCTTCTAAGACCCACGAGCAAGCCAGAATTGAGAAACTGCTCACTGTTCACTGGGAATACTACCTCATGAGCCGCCTCCTGCCACTGCCCCCCTCAGACACCAATGCAGCCAGACCTTGGTCCACCTAGAGGCTGTCCCTGTGTCTTTTAGAATGTCAGCAGGTCCTGTTGTCCATGTCCCTTCGTATTCCGGGAAAACGAGGTCAGGCAACCCCCCCCCCCCTTCCACTGGCAATTTAAAATGGAGAACAAATAGGGCCAAAGTCACCTGCTTGCCAGAGACTATGCCGGGCCCTCCCTGACCCTCAAATGGCTTCCGAATAGCCCTGGCTACTGGGCCTAGCCTCTGGCTAGGGCGCCGGCTGGGAAACAGGCACACCCCTACAAACTGTGGCTGACAGCAAGCAGCGGAACAAAAAAACAACTCTGTAGCTGTGGTGGCAAGGAGCAGTGTGGACTGCCCGGGGTGGCCAGGCCCTGAGCTCCCCTGATTCGGAGGCCTTAAGTATGAGGATGAAAGAGCTGGGGTGTTGGCCGAGGTGTCTGTCACACAAACATGAAGACTTGAATTTGGATTCCCGACACCCATATAAAAGGCAGGCGTAGTGGTTCGAGTCTGTGACCCTAGAGTGGGAAGAGGGTGCTGGGGACAAATCCCTCCAAGCTCACGGGCCAGCCATTTTATCCAATAGGTGAACTCCAGGTCCAGTGAGAGACCCTGTCTCAAAAGAGAAGCTAGAAAGCAATAGAGAAAGACACCCACTTCCAGCCTCTGTATATGTGTGAATGAGCACACACCCACAATACTAACACAGTTTTAAAAAGTGAAGCAAATTTCCTAATGGAGGTGGATCTCCGTGAGTTCGAGGCCAGCCTGGTATACACAGTGAGTTCCAGACTGCCAGGATTACAAAGTGAGACCCTGTCTTCAAAATCAACAAAACAGTCACAAAAAGAGGGGTGGAACTGGGAGTCGGGTACGGGCCTGTAATCCCAGCACTTGGAAAGTGGGAGCAGAGGGTTAGGAAGTGAAGTCAGATTGAGCTACGTTGTGAATTGGAGACCAGCCTGGGATACATGAGACACTGTCTCAAAACAAAACAAACAAGACCTGAGGAAAGGCTTAACAGGTAGAGGTGGAACCCCCCACATGGTGGAAAGAGAGCTCGGACTCCTGCAAGTTGTCCTCTGACTGCCACATAATACTGTGCCCGCCCCCAATAAAATATGTAAATCAATAAATTAATAAAACTTACAAAACGTGAGTGGTATACCTATAATCCTGGCATTGGGGGAGGGGTGTGTGTGTGCTGAGTGAGGCAGGATGCTCTAGAGCCAGTCTGGATTGCAGAGAGAGACCTCCAGAAAAAATGCAAGTCAGACAAGGCTCACACCCGTAATCCCCGTACTTGATGCAGGAGGATTACCTTGAGTTAAAAGCCTGAGTTTTGTGTGGGACTCTGTCTCAATAAAGTCAACTAGCCAACCAGACAAGTAAGTGAGTCACTTTGTAGAGTTGATAACTCAAGAGTCCTAGAGGGGGGGGGGGGGGGAGTAGCCTTTGGGTTCTAGGAAATAAAATCCAAGTAGCTCAAAGAGGGACAATCAGGGAGATGGGCAGGGCCACGGGCCAGGGACAGGAAGCTGCCTGTCTTCTAGGAATTGTGGCAAGTGATGAGAAACTTTCTTACATTTTATTTATTTATTTATTTATTTTTGGTTTTCTGAGACAGGGTTTCTCTGCGTAGCTTTGACATCTTTCCTGGAACTCACTCTGTAGACCAGGCTGGCCTTGAACTCACAGAGATCTGCCTGCCTCTGCCTCCTGAGTGCTGGGATTGAAGGTGTGAGCCACCATCGCCCGGCTATATTTTATTTTTAATTAAGTGTGTATGTTGGGGGTGGGGAGAGGAGTTTGTGTACATGAGTGAAGGTTCCTGAAGAGACTGGAAGAGGGCATTGGATCCCCCTGGAACAGGAGTGGTTGTGAGCTGCCTGATGTGGGTGCTGGGAACCAAACACTGGCCCTCTGTGGGAGCAATGTATTCTTCAGTGTGCAAGAGCTGCCCACGTGACGCAGAGATGGCTCCTGCTGCAGCTTTCACAGTTGTGGGTGACAATTCAGCGTCTCAGGAGAGGAGAATGGAGTGTCAGTCGTCTTGGCAGTGACATTAAACAATGGTCCAGAACGAAGCCCAGGACTCCCTCCAGGGCGCTCTCCCTGGCCCCTGGCCACTCATCTGACCACTTTAGTTGGCCCACATAACCATGACCCTGTCCTCTCCTATGACAGAAAAGTGGGAGTGGTGTGTATGGGGGCGGGACATTTCTCTTCTGCAACACTAATGGAACTGGAATTTTGGGGTTGGGGATTTAGCTCAGTGGTAGAGCGCTTGCCTAGCTAGCACAAGGCCCTGGGTTCGGTCCTCAGCTCCAGAAAAGAAAAAAAAAAAAAAAAAAAGGATTGGAATTTTTCTTCCTCTTTATTTTTGTTTTTTCACGACAGGGTTTCTCTGTTTAATAGAGCCCCAGCTGTCCTGGATCTCGCTCTGTAGACCAGACTGGCCTCAAACTCACAGAGATCCGCCTGCCTCTGCCTCCCAAGTGTTGGAACTAAAGGCGTGCACCACCCCTGCCCAGCAGAGCTGGAGTTTTTCGGAGAAACATTCCCGAGGAAACAGCAAACCTTACGGGCAGGGGAGCAAGATCAGAGAGCAGCTTGCTTGTCTGTCTTTGTGGCTGTGGTCAGGTGCATTTCACATGCCATCAAATCCCCACTTACCGTCTACACCTCAGTGGGTTTTAGTGTGTTTGCAGACCGGCAGCCAGCGCTGCAGTCTCATTTTAGAATATTTTCAACACCTGCAAAAACTCTGACCCCCAACTGTCATTACCCATTTCAGCTTCTTCGTCTGCGGCACCCCATCCCTAGGGCATTACTCATCTCCTTCCCCTCCCTGTGTGGACCCCCCAGACTTTCCCCATGGATGGGATCACACCGCAGCCTGGCTTCTTTTCTGACACCGTGTGTTGCAGAGGCAGCTGTGGGTCAGCAGGCATCAGAACTTCATTCCATTTCCAGCCAAGGCCTTCTCCATGTACATGCTACATAATATTCATGTGTGTATCAGTCCCCCTTTAGGTCATTAGTACATGCATGTGCAGGTAGCAAGTGTATGTCTGGTGGCAGACGTGTGTGGAGGTCACCTTGGGGAGTAAGTTCCTTCCTTGTACTTTTATGTGAATTCTGGGGATCAAATTCAGGTTGGTCCTGTCCAGCACGACCCAAGCATGACCCAGCACGACCCAGCACGACCCAGCACGACCCAGCACGTGGCACAAGCTCTTCTGGCTGATCCACACCATCCCGAAGCAGCAGCTCTGGACTCCATTCCCACCTAAGAGGGTTCTGGTTTCTCCATGTCTTTTTCAGCTCTTCTTATGTTCTTGACATTGCTCTGTTTATCTGGTCTAGATATCAATATTGGTATCCATTTTTTTGAGGCAGGGTCTCGTGTATCCCATGCTAACCCCAAACTCTTTAATGCAGCAAAAGCTGATGCTGAACTTCTCAACTTCCTGCCTTTCGATCTCAATTGTTGAGATCACAGGCATACACCACCCAACCCGGCTTATGTGGTACTGGGAATTGAGTCCCATACCTGAGCCATATATCTTGATTATAAGTCTTTTGTATTTTTCTGTGTGGTCTTGTGCCATGTGTTTGTGTGGAGACCAGAGGACAACTTTCTTTCTTCTTCTTTTTCTTTTTGTTGTTGTTTTGGTGTTTTTCAGGACAAGGTCTGTGTGTAGCCATGGCTGTCTTGGAACTCACTCTGTAGACCAGGATAGCCTTGAACTCAGAGATCTGCCTACCTCTGCCTCCTGAGTGCTGGGGTTAAAGGCGTGAGTCACAAGGCCCAGCCTCAGAGGACAACTTTCAAGAGTGGTTTTCAGCTAAGTGGGCCTGGTGACGCACACACTCGGGAGGCAGAGGCAGGCGGATCTCTGTGAGCTCGAGGCCAGCCTGGTCTACAGAGCGAGTTTCAGGACAGCC